ATTTCTCCCTTTTTAATTAATAAACTTTATAAAAGAAAAAAACAAAAGAAATGATATTTGAAAAGAGAAAAAATAAATTCACAGAAAAAAAAAGACTATTGTTACTCACGAAATTGCAAAAATTGCAATTTTAATTTTATGCGTAATATGCAATTGCTTCTACTTCAATTGATTGAAAATTTTTTATTTGCTAAAAAAAAAGTTTTAAAACAACGCAAGTATTAATATATAATTTTAAAAATTATGTTATTAATAAAAAAAAGGTAATTTTGTTATTAGTTAATTTTAGAAAATTGCTAAAAATTTAAATTTAATATTCCTTAAATTATTTTATATTTTTCTTTGTTCTATTTTTTTTTTCAGTATTCCAAAAAAAGTAATTTAGAGACGCCCTATGATATTAATCTAGCTGAGATAGACAAATATAGATAAGATTACATTCAAAATTTCAAATTAGAGTCCTAATTATCTACATACTTGTATATTTATTTAAAAAACATATTTGTAACAAATAAATTTATTACGTACTTGTATATTATTCAATTAGTTGTGGTCTTTGTGCCCATTGAAATGAAGAACTCCCTGTAGATGTAGCAAGTTTTAAATCTTTACCTCCCAAACCATCTGCAATTAGTAACATACAAATAATTAATTAATTTTTTAAATAGGAAAACATGAAAGTAATTTTCTAAATATAGGGACGGAAAAGAAAGCTAAATATAGAGGAAAAACATTTAAATAAATAAAACTAAAAGAAAATTAGGTCATCAGACTTACCTCTGCAGGAAGGATGAAGCTATAACGTATAAAAAAAAAAAAAAAAGTTAAAAACCAAATCCAAGCAACTCAGCAGTGAGACAAATTCATCTAGACATTGTTTAGTTCAAATTCATGTATTTTTACAAAAGTATATTTCCTGGAAAGTGTACTTTCAAGGAAGTATAGTTGCAATATGTTTGGTATGTAAATCAATTTTTCATGAACTACATTACTCTTAAACCATATAAGATAAATTATTTAGGCACAACCAAACATCTCCATCGAGGGCTAAAACGTCAATTATGTATTGAATTATTATACTATTCTTCTTTTGCTTTTCTTTATTTTAGTTTGCCATTTATTTTACTTTTCTTAAACTATATTTTTTTATTATTTGCATTTCGAGTGCTTAATTGGGGAAGTAAATCATGTTACAACTCTAATTAAAAAGCCACGCAAAAATTCGAAAGAAAGTTTAATTTGTACCTTGCACAACTATATATAATATCTAAAAATTATTTCTTTTTATAATTGCCACATCAAGATATAATGCTTCCGGAATCGACGATTTTGATTCTAAAAAATTTAGAACCGGAATCGAATCGAAAATTGACGGTTTCGGTTTCTTAACGGTTTCAAAACCGACGGTTTCAGTCAGTTTTCCGACCAGTTTTCTGGTGGATCGGATAATTGCAAAATAAAAAAATAGAGAATATTTTTTCTTCAAAATTTAAAATTTTAAAATTAAAAATTTGTACAATAATTTCTTAAAAAAAAATACCCTTGAAAAATTAAAAAAATGCTTGAACTTAATTTATTTTTTAAAAAACAAAGACTTGAACTTAATTTATTTTTTTTAAACAAAAGTCTTCAACTTAATTTATTTTTTGTTGAGGTATTTATAATAAATCCAAAAAATCATTTTCCACAAATATCCTAGAAACTAGCTGTTATGTAGCCGTTTATAGTTGTTAGGAGGGGTAATTTAGAAATTTCACAAAAATATTTGAAAAAAGAAGCTGCTACAACTGCCGGTTCGAACCAGTGGAACCGCTGGTCTAGCCATTTAACATAGATTCAAAATCTGGTTGGAACCACTGGTTCGAACCGTCTGGAACAACCGGTGGTTCCAGCCGGTTCTTGGAACTACTAGTTCACTGTTTCAAAAATAGTGGAACCAGAACCGAACCATAGGCCACTAGTTCTGATTCTGATTCGGACCAATTCTGATTTCCACCGGTTTCGATTTGTACTGGTTCCGGTTCCCACCAGTTCCGGTTTCTCCAACTGTAATATGGCTGGGTCTAGCAAGATAAAGGCCAATTTTATTAAAAAATAAAATAATGATTTTAAATATTTTAAGTTAATAAAACTACATAATTTAAAAAAATCATTGAAGAAATTAGAGAAAACTTTAAATTTTAAAACCAAGCCATTTTCATCTTTAATTCAACCCCTTCTTCTCCTCCATTTTCCTCCACTTTCTCATTCATCAAAACACCGCTCAAATCTGTGCACTTACTCTATAATCTCCTTGAGAGTAGAGCAGAATGTCCATGTAATTACGCTTCCTTTAGATGAAATATGCGAGGGTTGGGCGAATGAAAACCCAGTGGAGTGGACGTAGAGCTGTTTCCGCTATCAGTTTCTCCTGTTAAAAAAGACATAAAAGACGTAGCGGCAGAGATTCAAAGTGAATTAGAGAAATTTGACAGGAGAAGGTATCTCGTTCCTCTCTGGAAACCCGTTCTTTGTCGCCAAAAGATGAGTCTTTTTTATGATGATTGTGATTATTGGGCAACAGCGGTAGATAATGAGCTGGAGTTGGTCGGTGAACTTGAAAAGCAGAGACTTGCTTGTTTGCTGAGAATTAATAGGTTGAACAGAAGGCCCAGGATCTAGAACTTGCTACTGCATGTCCGCGGTGGTTGAGGAACAAAAGTGGGAGAAACAAATCTCCCATAATCGAAATTGCACAATGTTGAGATGGGAATTGGATTTCTGAGTAAATGTTGAATTTTAAACCAAAATTGAAAACCAGGAAAGGAAATGGCGTAGCCATGGAGATTTGCAGTAGGTGTAGGGTTTGAAAAAAAATGACACAGTTACGTTCTTTCTTTATAATTATTTCTTATTCTTAAATAAATTTTTTATTTCCTAGTTTTTAGACTTTTAAATAATCTTTAATAATTGAAAAATATTAAAAATATTATTTCATTCTTTTCACAAAACATTGCACATTTTTTACATGTGTATAAAGTTGGAGCGATAATTTTAGAGAAAATTAATTTTTGGACAAATTATACACGCTGTATTCTTTTTACAATAAATTGAGCCTTCTGCCCAAAATTTTAAAATGTTATATTCTTTTTTCTTAAATAATTTATATTAATAGAATTGCTTGATTTTAATTCATTTTTATAGTTTATACAAACCCCATATATATTTAATTTAGCTAGTATTTAAATTTATCGATATAGTTTATAATTAGGCATGGCCGGTTCAGTGAACCGCCGGTTCCAGTTCACTGAACCGCCTGTTCGAGATTTTTAAAATTTTGAACCAGAACAGACCCTTGGACCCTGAAACCCTCTGGTTCTCCTCCAAGCTTGAATGCATATTCTTTTTTGCAATAATTACATCGAACCGCATTGATTTCTCTATTATCTTGAACAATTTTTGCAAAGTGCTTCTTGAAAATATCTAATTTTGGTAGTTTACTTATTGAAATATTAGGAGATGTTGCTTCTTGTGGTGGATAACGACGAATATAACGTTCCTCAACTAGAATTTGATGTTGATCTTCATCATTAAATTGTGGTGAAAAATAATCAATGGATCGTTTGAATCAATTTCTTTCATACTTTGAGTAACTTACTTTTCCTTAGAACTTTGTGAATTGTGTGCCATGTTTTTAAATGGAATTATGAAAAAAAAAAGAATAAGAATATGAAATTAATGGAATGAGGGAGAAATTATGAATGGAAAAATTGAGATTAGAAGGAATTTAGAATTGGATATATGAAAATAAAAAATAAACAATAGATAATTTCAATATTAAGGAAAATAAAGCAATAGAAAAATAATGAACTATAAAAATTTGAGAGAATTTTGATTGAGAATAAGAGGAGAGTTAGGATATAATTGGTTGTGAAAAAAAAATCCACTCATCATATTTATACATATTTTTCATTTATTAGTTTTCCAAATTGTCCCTCATAACAGAAAAATAACAACTATATTTTGGGATAATTTAATAAATTATAATAAATAAATAAATAATTGATTAAAAATGAATAAAATTTATTTACCAAAAATAAATTTACCAAAAAATAAATAAAAAACACCTATCATATCAAAACTATCCGCTTACACTTCTTTTTTGTACATTTTTTGAAAAGTATTTTTTTATTAATCAACTATTTATGTACCATTTTTTATATAAATTAAGTCAAAAAATGTGTATTTTTTTCACAATTTTTATAACTTATGTACCATTTACTTCTCTTCACCATAAATCAAATTTAACTTACAATCAAAATCAAGTGATATAAATTTTTTTATAAAAATTTAAAGCTACAATTTTTTGTGTATCATGTTCGAACGCGGACCGAACCACCGTGGTTCCGGGCCGGGGCCGATTCCGGTTCATATTTTAACATTCACATGAACCTTAATCGGCCCTTGAACTGCCGGTTCCGGTTCAAAATTATGAACCACCGATTTCGGTCCGGTTTCAGTTCGTCTACAATACGGTCAGTTCCGGTTAGAACCGAACCGATGGCCATGGTTTCTTAGGCTGAATAGTAATAGTTAAAAACAAAGTTGATTAAAGAACTGTGATGTCTCACATCAAAATATATTTTAATGATATATAGCTTAATAATAGATATAAATTCGAATCTCCCTTCACCACGACGGAAAAAAAGAAAAGAACTGTGACGCCATTACCATAACGTAACCATAACAAATCCATCAATAAAAATTGATAACTTAAACTTAAGCAGAAAGACTGAAAGTGATAAGACTCCAGAGGTATTTATGTACGGATACCATTTCTCTTTCTTTAAGCCTATGGCTCTAACAAACTTCCCAGCCTCTCTTCCAATCACATTTCGGCAGCACATTACCTCCAAAACCACGCTTGTTTCCAAGACCACCGCTGTTAATTCTATTTTATTTTTATTGCAAACTAAATAAATGAATAAAAGATAATAATAAATACTCTTTAACACTCCTTTCCCCATTCCCTTTCTTTCCCATATATACATAAAACCTTCCCCTTTCCTTCATACAATAACAAGAAAGCAAAACCTAGACATACTTAAATAGAAACTTTCCCATAATACCTTGCTCCATACATATACATATTCTTGTTTCTTGTTTCTTGCAAGTTTTCTTTCTTGCTTTTCTTTGAAATGAATAATCCAACAGGTAGGGTTTCTTGAAACAAAATTATAATTCGGTGCTTAACAAAAATTAATTTCAAGAAAACTCGTATAAATACAAGAGTGCAAAAATGGGGAGAGGTAGGATTCAACTGAAGCGGATCGAGAATAAGATTAGCAGACAAGTCACTTTCTCTAAAAGAAGAACTGGTCTGCTGAAGAAAGCTCATGAGATCTCAGTTCTTTGCGATGCTGAAGTTGCTTTAATTGTTTTCTCTACAAAAGGAAAGCTTTTTGAGTACTCTACTGATTCAAGGTACATATTTATATACTTACTGTTTTTTTTTTTTTCCCCTCTTTTTTGCATGGTTTTTTCTACTATCTATGTGGGTTTTGTTTCTTTTGTTTATATTTTTCTTGTTTTTGTTTTCTGTACTGCATTACTCTGGAGATTGTTTCTTCCCATGGCGTGAAGCTCATATGTCTGTTTTCCTTAAAATACACACAAAAAAAAAAAAAAAAAAAAAAAAAAAAAAAAAAAAAAAAAAAGATATATATGTTAAGATTTCCCCTTCTTGTACTTTAGGTGCATGAAATTGATCTGAGAACAAGAAATGGAGTCTTCTATGTTTAGTAGTACTGTTTTGTAGTGAATTTAACTGGCACTTACAACCAAGATCCTACTACCTTTCTGCTAAATTAAAACCTGGTGAAGAAGTCTCACTAGCACTAGGATGGGCCTGCACTAGCAGACACCTACTTCTGCTCCTAGAGCTTTGTGTTATGGGGTTGAGTGTTTCACTTTTTTTCTTTTTTGCATCAGGTTTATAACCTAGAACGTTTGTATTCATTGATGTTGGTGCACCTCCCTCAATGATATAAAGCAATATTTGTTGATTTGAGGTAGTTATTGATTTAAGATTTCCATACAGATACTTCCATTAGACTATATATGACCATTATTTTTGGCAAATCACAACAGTAAATCCTAAGTTTAAGGGATTTTTGTTAATACTAGAATTAAGTTTAATTAGTATAGCTATAAGGTTTGTGATTAATCTGTTGAAACCTTTTGTATTAGAAATTACTTCTTTTGAAATATTTACTTAGGGTTAAATCTAGCTCTAGTGATTATTGTCGATTTATTGAATTATAGAGATGTATGTTATTCCAAAGATTATTAAGCTTCTTTACTACTACTACTACTACTACAGAATAGAATGGCACTAGTGTTTCTATTGATAATCGTTTTACTTTGTTTAATTTCTTAGATGCTTTTGACAAGTATCAAGGTTCTGATAAGTAAGTTTAAAATAGCCTAGCCAAATTATCAATCTTTGGTTGGTGTGATTCTCCAAATCCGTTTATGTAGTATGACTGTATGATGTCATAGGGATATTATTCTCTCTCCAAAATGCTAATATATTTGGGTGTTTAGCGCCCACGCTTATAAGTCCATAACTCCATCCTTACATATTCGATGTTTGGGATCTATTACATTCTCTCCCACCCAATCTTGTGATGCCCTTGTCACAAGTGAGGCCCCTGCCCACCCGCCTTTGTGGCGTTCGGCAGGACACTGAAATTGAGTCTGAGTTAACTTTGATACCACTTTGTCACAGAGCTTCCCCTAAAAACTAATTTATTGGGCACATACTTATAAGTCCATATCTCCACCCCTATCTATTTAGATTAACTGGCCTAGAGTGGGTTTAAGGATCCACCTATGAACCAAATCAACAAAAATATAAATTTTTTTAAAAGTTGTTTCTACTTTATCCTTTTTTTTTTCTTCTTAGTGTATCATTTTTTTTTCTTCTTAGTGTATCATAAAAATTACGTTCCTTTTAACAAAAAAAAAAAAAAAAAAAAAAAAAATTTTTTATATTTTTTTTATCTATGGAATAGAAAAAAAAAAAAAAAAAAAAACATTTTTTATATTTTTTTTATCTATGAATAGGCCCATAGATCTGTGTTTAGGCCATTTTTCATATTTTTTTTATCTATGAATAGGCCCATAGATCGTGTTTAGGCAAGTCAATCCTTATTTATTTTAACTTATGGGATATTTATCACAATGAGTGTTGACAAAATATATGCTTAATGCAGAAATTTGACTTTGAACCATGGTCAATTATCTTGCTTAAATTTCACCCTGAATCATGGCCAATTATTCTTGTAACTCCTGAACTTTGCCAAGGTTTAATCACGACCATACAATTTCATATTTTACTAATAATCATGCTCCTCACCAAAGTAAAATATCTTGTATAGGTTCAATTATGAACCTACATTTTCACATTTTTTTTTGTACGAGTAGCATAATTATTATTAAAATGTGAAAGTGTAGAATCATATATATATATATATACACACACTTAATAATGAAAGAGCTCAAATGGGAATAGAAGGAAACACACATTGCAATAAGTCAAGAAACCTGTTTCATAGAACTGGAACATACTTCATTATATCTCCTAATTAACAACTAAAAACAATTACTAAGTTGCCAATGAACTTTAGCTTAGTAGCATTTGGAGACATCTGCAGAATTGTGAAGTTGTAATTCTAATATAAAATTAACCAAAAGATAAATAAATAAAAAAGGAATTAGATTAATAATTTAGTAGTGGAATACTTGTCTCATAATACAAGACCACGAAACCTAGCAACTTAAAACCCTATAAAACTTTCATAGACGGTAAACAAAACCTTAGATCGGAGAATATATACTTCAATGCTCGCAAACTTTGGACCCTAGATTTCACACCTTCATGGCTTAAAAGGGGGAGAGTGTAACATTATAGTATTCATTTAATACTTCTTAATTTCCAATTCATATCTTCCAAACTAGTTATAAGAATAAACAAAAAGAAAGCTTCAAAATGGCTAGAGCAGAGAGATGAGAGATATAAAAAACAAGAGTGACTATAGGCATGCATTTATATGTTGTTTTTATTGTATTATTTTTGATTTTTTGAGCATTAATAGGAAATTTTAACATCAGTTAGTTTCTCCTACATACATGCTCTCATCCTTAATAGTAGATTAAGGTTAACAGTTTAGGCAAAAGATGGTTGTTGAGATAATAGAATTTGGAGTTTCTTGTTAAGAGGATATATAAGAAGTTCCTCTATCCTTCTATTTAATGAAGTTGGCATGCCTTAGAAGAATTTCATTTATAACTTAATATAATAGAATAATAATATAGAGACCCTTAGATTAAGTAGTAGTTGCATTTTTCTCCTTCATATTTACTGTACTGTTAAGGAAAATAACCTAATAAAAAGCTAACTGTTTTATATACTTGTTTCCTTTTGATTTTGATATTTACTCTACTCTTAGGGAATTTTGATATTTACTGTACTGTTAAAGTAAATAACCTAAGTAATACCGATGACTCGTATTTAGCTATCTCCAGTTAGTCCCTATCAGCAATTACTTTTGACTATCATAATTTGTTATTTTTATGTAATGTTTTTTATATTTAATACTAAGTTTTTAAAATATGAAATTTTTATAATTTTAAATATTTTTATAATATTAAAGATTAGAACTTTTAATGTTTTTAATTATTTTTCAATATTGTAACTAAAACAAAAAAAGAATTCTTTGAAAAATGTTTTTAAAATATAAGTTATTTTTCAAAAATAAATTGTGCTGAAGTTCAATATATACTAATTATGTTTCAGAAAAAGACATATATCTGTCTTTAATTGAGATTTTATTTGGTTTAATGATAAAAAAAATTTTAAAAATAAAGAAAAAAGAACACCTTATACATGAACTCCTTTTGTAATTCTATCATAAATTCTTATAATTTTCTATTTTTTAGTTCTATACATCATTGGTCCAATTTCAGATAAACTTATTCATAATTTTAACTTATTTTTTATTAAACTGCTAAGTTTTCTAAATTTTAATTTGTCTCTCTCTCTTTCTTTTATTATTTTGATACTAGAAGGGAGATTTTACATCTGTGAGATTCAAATTTTAACTTTCACTATCAGGTTATTAGATGCCTATCATTAACTATAAGCTTGTAAAGGATATCTAAATTTGATATCATTTAGATTTTTTATTAGAAACTTTTTAAACTGCTTCAGTTTGCTTTTAGTAAGACAATTTCTTTCTTAGTTATGCATTTAAACTGACAAGAAGTAGTCTATTTGAAGTAGAGAGTTGGAAGTATAAGAGTAGAGTAGAATGTAAAAATTTGAAAGTATCGAGTTTAAATTCTCTTAATTATAAGAATTTTCATCAATTTAATGTATTTAACGAAGGTTTAACGATCGAGGAAAGGGATTCCAATAGTGGCCCTCATCCTCCCACCTAATAATTTTTTCAAAACCTGTCTTAAAAATTTTAATTTTACCATTTAATAGTGATTTTTTTAATTTTGGCATTTTATCCCTTGACTCTTGAAAATTTTCTTTAGGCCTTTATCTTCCATTTTAGATCCGTCATCGAAAAGGCTACCTCTTATTGTATAGTCATAATGTTATTAAAAACAAAACATAATATTATTTTTTTTTCTGTTTTATTAGTGAGTAAGGTGCTAAATTTGAAGTTTGATGAACAACTCTGTATATAATAAATATTTAAAAGCTGTAGTTGAGCTTGGTTTATAACTTCAACATTTTCACAGCATGGAAAGGATCCTGGAAAGATACGAGAGATATTCATTTTCAGAAAGAGCTCCAAATGACACTGAATCACAGGTATTCTATTTATTTTATTTATACTTTTTTAAAATTTAAAATTAAATTTATTTACAAATCTTACTAATTTTAATAAGATTTTACTGAAGTATAACAAAATTGTTACTATTATGATTTATATTCTTAAGTTATCTTGATATTTCCATATAGCATTGTATTATAGTATTATAAGATATTATAGTATCATATTTCTGTTCTCTACCTATTTAATTACTGAAAAATAATTTCTTTTCAAAAAGAATGCGAAATTTTAAATAGTTTTAATTTATATCCAACATGTTAAGTATGAATTTATAAATAAATTTCACAAAATTTTATAAAATTTATTTATGTCAAATAAAGATTACACATTGGTCGAACTAATTCACAACAAACTTCTTTTTTTCTAAAAAAAAAATTTAATGTCATCTAGGAAAATTGGCCAGTGGAATGCCCCAAGCTCAAGGCTAGAATTGGGATCTTGGAGAGAAGCCTAAGGTACAGAAATTTTATTTTTTCCATATACATATTGGCTTATATATATCTAAATTATATATATTGGGTTGGCTAATAATTTTTTAATTACAAATTGATGATATAGGAACCTTGCAGGAGAAGATTTGGATTCCATGACTCTAAGAGAGCTTCAACACTTAGAGCACCAGATTGATAATGCACTTAAGCGTGTACGATCAAGAAAGGTTAATTAATTATATTAAATCTTTTCAAAATTTTCTATTATGATATAAAATTTAAATGCTTAAATAATTACTGTGGCTTTGCAGAACCAACTCTATCATGATTCCCTTTTAGAGCTGCAGAAGCAGGTAATTAAAGTTTATTGCTTTTGCGATTACTTACGTTGCTTTCTAGGGTTCATCTCAATTTCCTGCTTGCTTAATTTAAAAACCCTAATTTATAGAGTGAATAGATAGAGTTTCCGGATGTGAGACTAATCTCATTTAGGGTTAATGATTGTCCGCTCAATAAGTGCTTTTTCATGGATCAAACTTCTGATTTTATAAAAATCATCCGCTGAACTTAAGTGTGTCTTGTTATTCGAGCTGCTTCCTGTAGATATAGATATATGATTTTCATGAATATGGCTTGTTTATTATGGAAACTTGTTGGCTTTAGTCCAATATTACTTTTTCTTTTGCTTTTCCTTTTAAACATCTTGATCTGATAAAAAAAGGTTTTATTACAGGAAAGATCGTTGCATGACCAAAACAACTTGCTAAGCAAACAGGTAACGGACCTATCTTTCAAAAGTTTCTTAACTACATTGCCTTTAGCAATAGCTAATTTCCTATAGCACCCAAAAACAAAATTTATAGCTGGAGGAAAACCAAAAGAAATTGGCTGAAGATGCACAGTGGGAGCAACAAAATCTTGGCCAGAACTCATCCTCCTTCATGCCTCCACCACCTCCTCCGCCGCCGCCACAGCCACCAATGCTATCTTTTCCGCCTCAAGGGAATCAGTATAGTCTCTCTCTCTCTCTCTCTCTCTCTCCATACATTAAATCATTAACTTAACATCCTTCGATATTTGCAGTTAATAACAATAATAATTAACTCATATAGATAGCATAAATAAGAATTAGAAACTTTTGGCTTTTTAATTAACGTTATGTATTTTGTTGATGAATAATGCAGTGCCAATCTCCAGACAAGAGAATTCATGAATGAAAATGAGGAGGCAATAGCTCAAACTCAGGCTAACATGCCGCCATGGATGCTTGGCCATGTCAATGACTAGAAAATTGCTAATCAATTTTATCACTTGGATCATTATCACTTCATTTCTTTTGCCATTTACGTATTACTACAAAACTATGAACAATGTACTTGTCCTTGTGCCCTAATTGGTATCCATTCACTCTAGTATTAATCAAATCGATGGCCTAATTAAGATCATGATTATTAATATTTTATCAAGGCGTAACAAGTTTTATCATATCATATAAATATTTTAATGAATGTACAATTACAAGTTCATCATCAAGTGGATGAATGTTAGTCATACAATCATGGAATAATCCATCATCTAGGTGGCTGACTGGAAATACACTACTAAGACCAGCTTACAAAATATCAGAGATACCACCCATTGTCATCTAATATATGTACATAGACTGACATAATATTCAGCAATCTTCAAATCAATTTTTCGATCAGCTCTTCTCACTGCTGAGAATATTCTTCATAATCTACCTCGTCACCATCAAGCAAATGCTCCCTGCAGATATAAAGAGTTGTTTAAATTGCTTCTTTTCCACATATAAGCATGACAAAAAAAAAGGTCCAACAGTTTCACACATTATCGGTATTAACAAAATAAATTCTCACAATAAGGTAAAAAAGATAGCAGAAATGTAATTTCTAATGGGAAAGAATTAATCATGACACTTGACTAGTTTGCTCAAAGATCAAATAAAAATTGAAGTTGCATTTCGAGTCATCTTGGAAGTACAAAAAGCACATTCTAGATTCACTGCCAATCTCATTTTACTAAAACTTGTATTGGTTAGTTCCATCAATTGTCAAAGCATCAACAGCAGCACTCATAGTACAAAAGCTTTGGCTTTCGTAACAAATTTTGAGATTCCAAATGAAGTCCAGGGAGTTAAATATGACAATGATACCTTAAAAGGTAAGTGACGAGATTCTATGAAAATCTTCAGAAAATTGCAGCCAATTAGGTCAAAGATAGATCAATTAACTACATTTAAAAGGAAAAAAAAAAAAAGTAATACCTCAATCTTCCACAAAGGCGTGCTAAAGCATCTGCTCCAGTTCTAGATGCAACATCCTCGATCTGCAAAGCGTTCGATAGTGTCACACTATCTGCAAGTCTAAACTCACACAATTCTTTTAGGGAACAAGCATCAGTCAACACAGCTGAATGGCCACCACCGGCTGCTAGTTTTCGCACTTCTCCTACACACCTGCAATATGGTTCTTCCATCAGAGTTGAAGATGACATAACCATGCAGAAGCTACAAACAGCTCAGTGATAACACACCAGTCAACTGGTGATGGATACCAAGCATAAGTAGTTTTCTGATTAGCTGCCTGCCCATAGCTATTATAGCCCCATCCATGTATTCTTCCATCCCTCAAAGAAACAAGCGTGTGAGAATGTCCACAAGCAACAAGTTGCACTCCATTCGGAAGAACCAAAGCGGGGATATTTCGAAGAAATGATTCAGAATCGCTCGGAATGAATGAAAAAGATCCAGTTTGGGGACCAAGGCCCAATTGCCCTACCTGACCACTGCCCCAAGCATAAAGAGCTCCTTTCTCAGTCACAGCACATGTGTGTACACCTCCACATGCAACATCCTTTATGAAAATTCCATCAAGGGCAACCACTCGCCTAGGCAGTAGCTCTTTATCCCCGGACTGAAGAGAAGTGTGCCCAAGTTGGCCCACATTTCCTAAACCCCAAGTATAGCTTTGGGGAACAAAATTGAAAAAAAAAAATATCAGTAATAAAATAAAATAAAATAGTACAGATAAATAAAATTAAAGCCCATTAAGGATTAATCTAATCATTTCTATTTTCATCATTTAAAGGATTCAAATCCAAGCCATAAAAAAAAAAAAAAACATTCCTTGAAATGACAGAATTATTTGATTTAAATAATTAATCATTTCACTGTTGGATGGGGATGAGGGTTAACAAGTGCTGACAAGTATCAATTCTTCTAACCAAAAGCTAAATATCAGAATTTTATTTGGCGGCACAAGACATACAGAAATACTAAGGCTATATTTGATAAGCCATAATGGAATGTAATATGGTGTAAATTTACACTTAAATGTCTTTGATTACATTACAATACAACTTACCAAATGTACCATAAGATAAAACAGTAGTTTGCAGGGCTGAATGGAATCATGAAAATAGGAAAAGAAAATGAATTTGAAATGGAATACTAGAAAACTAAGCAGACAGAACTTTGCAGAATGATCCTAGAAGATGGGACAGCTCTCAGTTAAGATGGTGTCCACCACATAAACAACCAACAATGAACATATATACACACATCAATAAGTACTAACAATATTACACATAGAGTGGGTATTGACTGCTAGTAATCATCACAGTAGAATCACATATAGACAGCATGTATGGATTAGTCGACTTCTGCTACTTAATAAAAACAACAAATGATACAAAAAACTGTGAGTAGATAAAGATTCTAGAAATCACTAGACTCCAGCTAAGGACAAAATTAAGGAATCATAATAGAGAACAAGGGAAACTAGCTATTAACACTTCTCAATGGAAAAAATAATAAAATCCACAAAGCATTTAAGCTCTTTATGGTATAACCAAGCTAAGAGAAAAGAGACTTGCATATTAGAATGCATCGCAATTCCATTGCATCCCATCTCCTGAAAAGACGTGAGATTCCCATAAGAAGATTTTTTCCAACCTTCAAAGAGAGTTACATGTGTCATAATGATAAACACAATTCTCATGCTTAAATGTAGAAATCATCTCCATCTAAGAAGTTCTTCAGATAACTTACACCTCGCCCTTTTCTGAAATGGCAGCTGTGTGATACTCCCCACATGACACTTGGGTGATCTTCACAAGCTCAGGGGCTTCATCAAGAAACTTCGCAAAGGCATTTATTAAACGAGCTCCCTGCAGTCCTTCACAAGTAACACCTCTGCCAAGCTGACCATATTCATTGTACCCTGGTATATCAAAATCACAATATGACACAGATCAATTGGTGAAAAGATATTGCTATAAATAACCCTGTTTCCTCTTATAGATCAAATAACACACACCGTAAACTAATTAAAAAACAAAAGAAAGCAAGAAATGTTTGACCAATGTGAATAAAAATCACATCTACATGATAACTGATTAAGTTGTGATAACACTATCATTTAATTGCTGCCAATAATAAAATCTAGAACATTATGCATTTGGAATAGCATTTACCCCAAGCTTGTAGTAGGCCATCCTCTGATAAAGCCACCACATGAGCCGCACCACAGGACACTTGACGGATAATCTGAAAAAAATAATAATATATAAACCCAATTAATTATATTGTATTAATGGCAGCAACTTAAAAATTAAAGATACATTGGTACACAATAAATTCTCAAATATGTTTCTGTTCCATCGTAAAGCGAATATTACACAAATTTAATAAGAATGGCACTCAAGAACAGAAAATCATAGGCCCTCAAAATGTTGTCACGTCAAGTTATTACAATCCCACTTAAAGATGCAAAAAGGCAAATTTATCCAAGCACATCCAGTGCTACAATAGCATGAAAGCAACAGGAGTACCAACACTCAAGTAACTACCCTACTATTATAACTAGACTATTTTTTCGACTTTAAAATTAATATGAGAAACAGTAATTACTCTACCACAAACCACTCAAAATAGCCTGATTACAAGACTTCAAAACTACTTATAGATGCCCAATTCTCATATCATGACCAGAACAGCATTGAAATAGAACGAGAATAGTAAAAAGAAGACCTTTTGTCCGGTAATCAAAACCAATTCTTCAACAACATCGACTAATCCATTGCATCGATTTTCTCTATTCCTGAAGTAAACTAAGTTGAGTTTGGACCATGACAACATCGAGAAAAGGGTTGATTAAAGCACGTATACACAAAGCAAGTTAATTTAAAAAGCAGATGGCTCTGACTTCACTTGCTACTCAGAAATGCAGAGTGCAAGTATAATGAATGAAGAAACTTAGATGAAGTTATTGTCGAGCATGTTGCACATCCCCATTGTTATCTCAAATAAGAACCACAAAGTCACATCTCATTTTCATGAAATCTGAAAAACATACCAGATTTGCTTCATTATCTGAAAGTCAAAAATGTAAAATCCGACAATCACATACCGTATTTGGTTTGAAGGCCCCCCAAAATAAACGTGGAAAATTTGATCCCTGTAAAGATGAGTAAATGGTTTATCAAAATAGGAAAGGCAACTAGGCAAGGACATATACGTATCCAGATACAAAACAAATAGAATAAACTCAATAGGTCTACATTACTTGGTTTTGTCCCCAAACCCATAGTCTACTCTTTGAGATGGTTCCATCGTTTTCACGTGGTTCTGCAATAGCAGCAGTGCAGTGTGCTCCACAAGATACAGATTTCACAAACTCTGCCTCCAATTGGTCTACTCTCTTTGGGTACTTGCGACCCTCCTCAGTGCCATCTCCCAGTTGACCAAATTCATTAGCACCTGATCAAGCATATAAATATAAGGTTCCTTTCTTCATGGGAGGTAAAGAAAACACAGCCAGGCATAATCCTTTATCTCCCATGTTGGTGATCCTTTCTTCTGATAGAATGATCTTGTAAGAAAAAAAAGAAAGCCTTTGTGCTAGATATTTGTTGTTGTATATCCCACGCCATAAACAAAAAGATGTTACAATCATACTGGTAATATTGTCATCACCATGTAAGATCAAATAAATTCTCCATAAGCAACCATTATCATAATCAGTTTCCATATGAGTCAAGAAGACAATATACAAATTATAAAGTATCAGCGGTTCTGTACATGAAGAAATGCAAGCCCCTGAAACTTCAAAAGAAAACAGAATCATAACCAAATCCCATGAAAAGGGCAACCCATCAAAAGTTATGGCAGAAGATATATAATCAAATTATCGTTCTAACCAAAAGAGAAGAATATGCAATCAAATAAGCAAAGCAAATAAAGTAAGAGGAACCAAACCCCAAGTAAAAAGCGACCCATCAGAGGCTACAGCTGCAGTATGCTCACGGCCACAAGCTATGTCTAACCAGCGAGCATTGGCACCAGCTGGACACCCAAAGAGCTCAGGAGGGAGCTGCTTTGGAATTCGCAATTGGCCTTCTTTGCCTTTCCTTCCCGTTTGCCCACTCTGGTTATAACCCCACACATAAATTGCACTCTTTGCTGGCAGATTCATGGACTTTGCAGTCTCTCCAATAATCTCATTAATGTCCATCTATAATTTGTATGATTTCTAATATACAAATAAAGAAACCTATACAGCAAAATCAATAGAAAAAGGGGGAAAAAAAGAAACGAAATGAGATTGAAGCGTAATTCAAATGAAAATCAAATTTGTTATTTCTAAAACAAATTGCAGTTGAAATTCGCGACTTTATTGACCCATTAAAGAAATTAAAGTTAAGATACCTAAATTTGAAATGGATTGTGTTATTACATGTTTGGTTGCAGGGAAAAATGAGAAACGAGAAAAGAAAAGCAATTTGACTGAAATAGAATCATGGTAAAAGGAAAAATCTTACCTTTTTTAAATTAATCCAAAAAATACTAAATCTTTGAACAAAATCGGACAAATTCAACTTATAAACTTTAGAAGTTTTTAGTGAAATTAATATTTTGGAGAAACTGCGCGTAAAAAAGAAACTAATTGCGTTGGAGTTTTGATTTTACGGTTGAGAGTTGAAACAGGAAAGAAAAGGACGATGTTCCGACACCCAAAAACCTAGGAGTCGGGTCGGATCGGGTCGGGTCGATGTCCGAATCAAAACCCCAGCCCGGTTCTGCCAAAGTGAAGTCTCCAGGTTCCGGTCCTTTTGGCATAACTTTTTCATTGAAATTTTTTGAGAAAAAAATTTAGTAATTAATTAATCTAATTTCAAAGAAATAACCTTTTTACTAGTATTTATTGATAAAAAATTAATCTTTTTTTTTTTTGCAATCTTCTTTTAGCATTTTTAGTTTTTATAATTTTTTAAATGAAATAACCATCAATTATATGGTAGTTTCTCTTTGATATTGAGAGATAAAGTTTTATGAGGCGAAGAAAAATTTTTTATAGGAAAAGATAAATTTTTTTTATTTATTTTTATTTTCTCTAACATTTTTCATCCATCTAAACAAACTATTAGTGTAATTACTTTTCTTTGAACACTCCTACTAATGTATTTATGTAAAAATCAAAATTATAATGATAATAGTAATTTTACTTTTATATATGACTCGTTAATAAATTTTTTTTTTTTTTTTGATAATTCGTTAATAAATCTTTTGATAGTTAGTAATCTTTGAAAAGTTTAATGTACCGTCTAGAAGTTAATTTTTTATTGAATCATCTAGAAGTTTGACTTTAATAAATTTTTTTTTAAATATACTACTTTATGAAATGAAATTGTCATGCGCTATATAAATAATTATATTAAAAAAAGAATGATTCACACGGTGTATAGATAATTATATTTAAAAAATGACTACTTAGACTCTTTATATATTCACCCATAATTATATCAATGAAAAGTTTTTTTTTAAACGACGTGCAAAAAAAAAATTAAATGAAAATAAAATTTAAAAATTTGTATTTTAATTAGTTTTTCTCACCGTCATAATCTAGACCAAAAATGTAAAGATTAGACTTATATGGTTTATAGGTTCACCGTACACGAACCCAACGAAGGTGATTTTTTTAATATTATTTTCACTTTATCTTTTTTGAGTGAATAGTAAAAAAAGAATTAACTTGTGATAAACAATTTATAAAAGATTCTTATTTCTATCCCAATCTAGACAAATATACCCCAATCAAAGATACATTTTCTTTAAATAATAAATTATTATTCATTGATTTGGTTAATTGATGGACCAATAAACCGGTTTAGCCCACTCAATCTAAAGCTTAGCCGTCTCATTTGCATTCTCAGTGAAATAAAACAAAAGTCAAAAACATACAGCGATATCAACCCTTTTGCTTACTATAAAGCAAACCAAATATGTCCCTGCAATCATTCACACTCAATGCGCTGGGCAACTCTTAACAAATTCCCACCTTCTGTATTCTTTCAGGTACACAAAACCTTCTAACAGTCTTCTTAATTCTTTCTTTACTTTCATTTTCTTGACCTCTTTTAACACAATTCTTGATTGGAGTTTCCATTTCAGAAAGCTAGCAGATACCCAAGAATCATGAGTCAGTCAGTCAGCAACAGCAGCGGGAAGAAGCAGATTAGAATTGATATCAGCTCAGACACTATATGCATTTGGTGCTTTGTTGGCAAACGAAATTTAGATAAAGCCATAGCTACTGCTAAAGACAGATTTGATTTTGAGGTCTCTCAATTCTACCTTTTCTCATTAAGTTATATTCTAATATATTTTTCATTTCGAACTCAGACAAGTTCTAATTTGCAGATTAGATGGCATCCGTTTCTTATTGATCCATCTGCCCCGAAAGAAGGCACAAAGCTTATGCCTCTTTTCCAGCAAAGATTTGGGTCTCGAACTGATGCAGTTCTAAATCAACTCAGAGAGGTTAATTATCTTCTTCATTTGATAATTATCTATGCAATAATGGCCTTGGAGTTTGACTTTTATTTAATTAACCTATTATGATAATTGCGTTCAGGCTCTTAGAGGTGTTGGTCTGGAATTCAACATATGTGAGCTCTTGTAAGTTCTTTTTTGTAATTCAGCTTTATAAAAAATGTGCTAAGGGGTTTATTTGATGAATTAACATGGTTTTGGTGATGCACAGTGGGAATTCCTTAGAAAGCCATAGGCTTATACATTTTGCTGGCCAGCAAGGTCTTGACAAGCAACATAATCTTGCAGAGGAATTATTCCTTGGTTACTTCACAAAGGCTAAATACATTGGCGACAGGTAAATAGTTAAACTTTTTTGTCATTCAATCTTGTGATCTAATTGGTTTTCTCATTAATACGGAGGGTGGGAAGTATCGAGTTTGAGTTCTCTTCAATCCCATAACGGCGAATACGGTAACATTAATGAATTGATGCAGGGAATTTCTCTTGGAATGTGCTGAAAAAGTTGGAGTAGAGGGGGCTGCAGAATTCCTTCAAGATCCCAATAATGGTGTGAAGGAGGTATATGAGGACCTCCACAAGTACTCAGCAGGCCTCACAGGAGTCCCAAACTATGTGGTATGCAATAAAATACCCATTATTTATATTTTTATTGTTTAATCATTATAATAATCCATATTAATTTTTTCTTTTTCTTTCTCTGAATAGATCAATGGAAAGAAGAAGTTGAATGGAGCCCAGCCTCCAGAGGTTTTCCTCAGAGCTTTTGAAGCTGCAGCAAATTAATAGTTTACATTATATAAGCTGGAAGAGACAACAATAAATCAAGATTTCAACTTTCCCTCATGCATTTGTGTAATGTTTTATTATTTTTAATTATTTTTCTTGTGTAATATTGGAACATAACTGTCATATGCATTTTTCCTGCAGTGGATATGTTCAAATTGGAATGGTTTGAGGATTTGTGTGGAAATTTAAAAATATATTTCTTCTTTCAATATAACTTTCTGATCTTCACTATTTATCTTCACTACCTAACACCCCGTTTATGGGCTTTATCTCGTACACCAAACTAATAAAATAAACTTTTAACAAGAATATTTTTTTACAATCACTAAGAAAAAAAATAATAAAACAAAAATAATAATTAAAAAAATCTTTAATTGGCGTGTTCTATGAAATCACTTATATTATACACCTATCGACAAATCTTATCATATCGACATATCAATATTATCTATTAGTTACAAATTTTAATTGTCATTTACGCTCTATTTTGTATAAATGAAGTCAAAATGTTAAATTCATTGTATATGATTTTTTCATGTTTAGAATAAATTAAAAAATGAAAATTTATTTATTTTTATTTCTAAAATACTCTAGCCATAATAATGTTAGAAGGCTAGGAGGATGAAAAGTTTTGGTTATAAAATATTAGGTTGATTAATTTTATGGAATTCATTTAGAAATTTTACATTTTTCTTGTAAAATTTTATAAATTTTAATTTAGTTATATTCAAATACATAGAATTGAATTCGTATAATTAATTCTTCATTCTTTTTCATACCAAACACAAAAATTTAAATTTATAATTAAATTCTAACAAGTTTTTTAGAATTCATTTATTCCAAACAAGACTTATAAGTCCAATTATATACAAATCAACCGCAAATATATTCAAATCCAATTAATACAAACTTAGACTACAATCAAATACGGATATGTAGGAACTATTAGAAAAATCTTTGAATTAATAATATATATTTGATCTACTACTTTGTAGCATAAACAGAAATATAATATCTTAATTTTGAGAAGATATTATCTCTAATAAAACTTCAAAATAATCGTTGTCTTCAAACTAAATTATGGGCTTATTTTAAATCATTAAAAAAAATTTAAAACTTTACAGGTAATTTTAATTATACGTTAAATTCAATTTTCTTCTCTTACTATTCTGAACTTCAATTTTAATTATAATAGCACCCTAATTTTAAATTGTATCTAATTTAATGAGTAAAATAAACATGAATTTTTAATTATGGTTTATTGAAATTATAATTAAGCTAGATCTCTTATACAAATAAGTTTTATTCATTACAGCATAATTTTATTTTTAGGGAATCATTACTTGTTAATATTATACAAATAAAACAAAAAAAAAAAGTAGTTTTTAGGTGAATATATTATTTTTTATTTTAATATTGGGTACAAAATAATATTTCTTTGAAGGCAATTGAAAATAATATTTATTCACTAAATTGGATATAATTTGAAATTATGGTGCTATTGTAACTAAAATTGAAATTTAGAATACTAGAAGTAGAAAATTAGATTTAAAGTAATTAAAATTACCTATAAAATTTGAAGTTTTTTTAATGATTTAGCCCTTAAAATACTTGGACTTTGATTTTGTAACATTAAAAGTGAATTTGACCACAATCCGGTGATGAAAGACACCGGAAAACTGATGTGGCAAGCATCATTTAAAAAAATAATTTTTTATTTCACGTCATCCTGCTCAAAGTTTTTTGTGTTCATTTTTTCTATTTTGTAAGACCTCCATCTCTCTTCTTCCAATCGAGGCTTTTCGATCTTCATCTCCGTATATAAACCCATAGATCAATAATCAATTCATCAAACAACCCAAAATCAAAACAAACCTCTTTTCAATTTCCTTCTATTTATGAATTTAAACGACACAAACCCAAGTTTTACAATTCTCAATATGCTATCAAAATTAAAATTAAAATCATATCCAGTAAATATTCTTTGCAAAAACACCTTAGAATTCAAACAAAACGTAGAAATAATAATATTCAGGTTTCTAAATTACATACCTGAAATTCTCTTTCTCTCTGTACTAGCTCAGATCCTTAACATTTATTTTTTAATCGAAATTCCTGCTTGACCACTGTGAAGGGGATGAGAGAAAAAAAAAAAAAAAACACCTTTTTAATTGAATAAAATGATCTCTTGTTCAAACCGAAACTTTATAACATCGGCAAATGGTACTTTTTTTTGTACAGCTAACTTAAGCAAACTGGAATTTTCTCTCACAAAAAAGAAGTCTTTTATAGGTGAAAAGCAATTCATGGATGGTTATTAAGGCTTGTGGAGAGTGCAAATGGCTTGTTGTTTGTTGGTTATTTATAAAATAAGAAAATAAGGGAGAGAGCAAAGATCGAAAGAAGAAAAGAAAAATAGCCATTGAAGAGAAAAATGAGATATGGAAGATCATTTAGAAGAAAGAGAAAATGGGCACAAGTTCCATCTCCCGAGACTTTGACGCCGAATAAAAATTTATCTTTTTTAGATCATTCTTCCTCTATCAATTTTTCGGTGTCTTTTATTACCAGATTATGAAAATGATATTTTTAATATTATAAAATCAAAGTCCGAAAAAATTTTAAGCGACAAATTAAAAATTTGAAACTATAAAATGATATCTCTCTAACTTGACAAATCATGGGTAAAAATAAACCTTAAATTATGAGATTTTGTTAGAGATAATTTCACTTAAAAATCAACATTTTGTTGTAACTATAGTAACATGCAATATAATATTAAGATAAACATTAAAAATAATAATAAAAAGATCGTAAATATATTGGCCTACTTCTAGAAAGAATAGAGAAAAAAAATAAATAAAATTTCTTAAGTTAAATTTGTCAGAATTTAAGGCAGGCGAAGACATTATTGAAATAGTCAAAAAAACAATGAAAATGAACCTTCCAAATCCAATTCTTGCAATTCCCCATTGGCTATGCGTTTGGTAGCTCTTCAAAAAGTCTTTCTCAGCTTCAGTATTCTTCTAGGTAAACAAAACCCGGTCTAGGTCCATCCATGTGCTAGACCAATGGAAAATATTAAAAAAAAAAAAAAAAGAAATGAAGCGCTATAATTGGTTTGGCTCGTGAGTGGCTAAAGCGTAAGGATTAAACTTACCTAATCTATAGATTAGGTCCATATATCAAACTAATAAAGGAGATTTTTTAAATATTCTTCTCATCTTTTTTTTTTTTTCTTTCGGGTGAATAGTCAAAAATAGATTCATTTGTCTCGTCTGGATCCATGATCCTATATATAGATCAAATCAATAAAAATAAAAATTTTTATCGAAATCATGATATTTTTACTATAAGCTGAGAAGAAAAGGATAATATAAAAACAATTTTAAAAATTTTTTGTTTTTATAAGTTTAATTCATAGATAGAGTTATAGATCCAATCAAAACAAATATAGTCCCGTCAAAGATACTTATTCTTTAAACAATTAACTATTATTTATTGATTTAGTTCATTAGCAGACCAATAGACGGGATTTAGCCAAATCAATCCAAAGCTTAGCCGTCTCATTTGCATTCTCACTGAAATAAAATATAGTCAAACACATACAGCCAGATCAACCCTTTTGCTTGCTATAAAGCAAATCCAATATTTCCCTTCAATCTTTCACAGGCAATGCGTTTGGCGACTCTCAACAAATTCCCACCTTCTATATTCTTTCAGGTACACAAAACCTTCTAACGGTCTTCTCAATTCTTTCTTTGCTTTCAGTTTCTTGATCTCTTTTAACACAATTCTTGATTGGAGTTTCCATTTCAGAAAGCTAGCAGATACCCAAGAATCATGAGCCAGTCAGCCAGCAACAGCAGCGGGAAGAAGCAGATTAGAATTGATATCAGCTCAGACACTATATGCATGTGGTGCTTTGTTGGCAAACGAAATTTAGACAAAGCTATATCTACTGCTAAAGATAGATATAACTTCGAGGTCTCACAATTCTATCTTTTTCTCATTATGTTATGTTATAATATATTTTTCATTTCTAACTTAGAACAGTTCTAATTTGCAGATTAGATGGCATCCTTTTTTTCTTGATCCATCTGCCCCTAAAGAAGGCACAAAGATTATGACTCTTTTCGGTCAAAGATTTGGGTCTCGAACTGATGCAGTTCTAAATCAACTCAGAGAGGTTAATTTCCTTCTTAATTTGTTAATTATCTATACAATAATGACCTTGGAATTTGACTTTTATTTAATTAAGCTATTATGATAATTACATTCAGACTCTTAGAGATGTTGGTCTGGAATTCAACATATGTGATCTCATGTAAGTTTTTTTTTTTTTTTGTAATTAAGCTTTTTAATAATGTTAGTATATATTGCTTCCGGCGTCAAATAAATTAATCTCTTGTTTAATCGTTAAAAAAAATATTATTCGTATATAGTCCGCTGCTTTATAAGAAAATATGCTAAAGGGGTTTATTTGATGAATTAACTTGGTCTTGGTCATGCACAGTGGCAATACCTTAGACAGCCACAGGCTTATACATTTTGCTGGCCAGCAAGGTCTTGACAAGCAACATAATCTTGCAGAGGAATTGTTCCTTGGTTACTTCACGAAGGCTAAATACATTGGCGACAGGTAAATAGTTAAACTTTTTTGTCATTCAGACTTGTGATTTAATTGGTTTTCTCATTAATATGGAGGGTGGGAAGTATCAAGCTTGAGTTTTCTTGAATCCCATCACGGCGAATTCGGTAACATTGATGAATTGATGCAGGGAATTTCTCTTGGAATGTGCTGAAAAAGTTGGAGTAGAGGGGGCTGCAGAATTCCTTCAAGATCCCAATAATGGTGTGAAGGAGGTATATGAGGACCTCCACAAGTATTCAGCAGGCCTCACAGGAGTCCCAAACTATGTGGTATGCAATAAAATATCCATTACTTATATTTTTATTGTTTAATCATTATAATAATCCATATTAATTTTTTCTTTTTCTTTCTCTGAATAGATCAATGGAAAGAAGAAATTGAATGGAGCCCAGCCTCCAGAAGTTTTCCTCAGAGCTTTTGAAGCTGCAGCAAATTAATAGTTTACAGTATATAAGCTGGAAGAGACAACAATAAATCAAGATTTCAACTTTCCCTCATGCATTTGTGTAATGTTTTATTATTTTTAATTATTTTTCTTGTGTAATATTGGAACACACTGTTATATGCATTTTTCTTGCAGTGGATATGTTCAAATTGGAATGGTTTGAGGATTTGTGTGGAAATTTAAAAATATATTTCTTCTTTCAATGTAACTTTCTGATCTTCAAAAGAAATGTAAACAACCATAAAATCATTAATTACTTTAGAATGAAACACTTACCTACACATGATATGTACATATTCAACATATGCTGATGAGCCTATTTTATATACACCAAACCAATCAAAAATAAACTTTTACGATAAAGATAATTTCTAACATGAGAAAAAAAAAATGATGAATTAGTAATAATTAAAAAAAAAAATTAATTAACTTGGTGTATGGAACCATATAAACTATATACTAGGTATAAACAAGTCTTGTCTTGTCAAGGGTTCAATCTATCCATCACTTACATTTCTGAATCATGTACAAATCAAACACAAATATATTCAAATCCAATTAATACAAACTTAATTACAATCACAATTCATAGTCTAACGATTTTCTTGTATAAGTCTTTGGATACTATTAGGTAGGAACTATTAGAAAAATCTTTGAATTCATAATATATATTCGATCTAACTACTTTGTTTTGTAGGATAAACAGAAACATACTACCTTAATTTAGAGAAGACATTATCTCTAATAAAATTTCACAATTTATTACTATAATTCGTTGTCTTCCTTTTCCAAACTGAAAAGAACTAAATTATGAGATTTTATTAGAGATAGTTTCACTTAAAAAACAACATTTTGTTGTAATTGTAGTAACAGTAATGAAGCTAGGAATTAAAATTAGGGGTTTAAAAAATGTTCAAGAGATAAAAAGGTAAAATTGAAAACAATTACAATTATAATGGGTACAATAAAAGAATTTTAACATTTACAGGCGATTTTTGTATAAAAAATTTTGTTAGGGGGTCGGGTGGGGGCCACTCCTGGACGCCGAGCTCCGTCAACGTGTAGTACAATGCAATATATTATTAAGATAAACATTAAAAAATAGTAATAAAAGGAAGTTTGTTTTATAAAAACATAATAAAAGGAAGTTGAAAAGTAGAATTGACAACCGTAAATATGAAAAATCGGAATATTCTAAATATATTAGCCTACTTTGTAGAAAGGACAGAGTAACTTCGTCAGAATTGTAGGTTGGTGAAGACGTTATCGAAACAGTCAAACAAACCATGAAATTAAACCTGCCCTCTCCTATAAAGCAAATCCAATTCTTGCGATTCCCCATTGGCTATGCGTTTGGTAGCTCTTCAAAAAGTCTGTCTCAGCTTCATTATTCTTCCAGGTCAACGAAATCTCAATTTCATTATCTCAATCTTTTCAATTCTTTCTTTAAAGTTGTGTTCTTTTCCATCGTTGGTTGGTGTTTTTCCCTTTTCTTAGCTTTCTTAACTTAGAGAATTCATTTTCTTGACATATTATTGTTATTCTGCAGTTTTCTGGAAATCTTTGTGCTTGCTGTTTTAATTACTGGACCAGTAAGCAAAACCCATTTATTGTTTTGTTCTTAATTTGTTCATGGTGTCATTATTGAAAAGTAGCGCTTATCTTTCATTATTTGCATTTTAGCTTTTTGTTTCTTTTATTTTACCTGAATTAGTCCAAAAAGGACAAGGATTTCTTTGTTAGGTCTGATTAATAACACAAGTAGAGATCTTATCACCCAAAAGAGCAAATATTCAATTAGTGCTTGCATTAACAACGCAAATGAAAATTACTAAGGGTAACTTCTGATTGTTCCATCAAAGACCTCAGTCTCCAAAAATTTAAAGAAATTGTATGACAGCATATAAAAAGTAAGGATAATTTTAGAGTTATGCTCTTTACTATATTACCAACGTGAAGTTTGTCACTTGAAAACAAACAAATCATTTTTCTTTGTGGAAATGGATATGGTTTAGTAGAAATTAATGAGACAGTATGGGATACAGAACTGTTGATTTGTGAACCTAATGAATAACTAGCTGCCAGTTTACTCTTATACATCATGGATTGGGATAGTTGAACGTGAAACCGTGTGGCTTACAATGCTCATTTCATATTCTTCTGCAACTGAGCCTTGATTATCTGATATTTTTTCAGTGGATTTTGAACTTAAGGCATTGATGACTTCTAGGACAAGTTTGATTTACTATAAAATTGATAGAATTGGTAATGGAATGCAATTCTTGTAATTGGATTCCATTTGTTTTGTTGGGTTCACAGGGAATCCAATTTCTTTTCAATATTTTTATATTATTGGAATGATATCTATTTTAAGTGTAATTCTAATATAACCAACACAATCTATTTGGTTATTTAAAAAATAAACTTGGAATAAGCTTCTTTGAATTTAGACAAACATTTCCATTTCGATTCCAATTCCAAGGTGAACTACCATGCCCTTAGATCTTTCAGATTGGAGCCTGATTAAGTTTCTTGGTTAGAAAGGGAGCCGATACTCTCCTCAAGGATCATGAGTCAGTCAGTCGGTAACAGTAGCGGCAAGAAGCTCATTCGAATTGATATCAGTTCAGACACTGTATGCCCATGGTGCTTTGTTGGCAAGAGAAATTTAGACAAAGCCATTGCTGCCTCCAAAGACAGATTTGATTTTGAGGTCTTTCTCTCTTGTGGAGCTCTCTTTCTTCATATGTTACTTTTTTTTTGTTATGTTCCACAATAACTTGGTTCAGTTTTAGTTTGCAGATAAAATGGCATCCATTTTTTCTTAATCCATCCGCCCCTAAAGAAGGCATTAATAAGCTGCAGTTTTATAGGGAAAAGTTTGGATCCCGAACTGATGCAATTATAGCTCGGATGACAGAGGTTTCTCCTTCTTTGTAAATTACACATGCACATGTTGCCTTCAAATTTGGCTGTCATGTAAATAAGCGATTATCATAATTGAATTGCAGGTTTTTAGGGGTCTTGGTCTGGAATATAACATATCTGGTCTCACGTAAGATTGAAATTTCATTTTAATATTAATATATGGTCCGCTGCTATATAAGAAGACACAACAAGTTTATTTGATCAGCAAACCATTAACATTGTTTTGGATATTTGCAGCGGCAACACTTTAGACAGCCACCGGCTTTTATATTTTGCTGGCCAACAGGGTCCTGACAAGCAACATAATCTTGCAGAGGAATTGTTCCTTGGTTACTTCACAAAGGCTAGATACCTCGGTGATAGGTAAATTAACTTTTGTCATAATGTTCATTAATTCTTGTATCCCAAAATTGCAAATGCTAACATATACAAATGGATGCAGTGAGTTTCTTTTGGAATGTGCTGCAAAGGCTGGGGTAGGGGGTGCTGCAGAATTCCTCCAAGATCCACCCAATAATGGTGTCAAGGAGGTTTGTTCTGTTCTAATTTTCTTTGCTCCTCCTTGTTTTCCAGAAAGCCAACAGAAATACCGAAATTCAACTTTTGTTAGGTTGCAATTGCTTTTTTATTATTCAAGGATTAAAGAAGAATACATATATATATTGGCAATCTATTGGCATAATATTTAACCTTTTCATCTTCCTCCCACACTTATTGGTTAATTGCATTACATCTGTTGGATTCATATTCTTGGTTAATCTTGGTCTTTTCATTTCTTTTTCCTGTTGAACTCAGCATTATGATTCTTTGCAGGTTAATGAGGACCTCCAGAAGCACTCTGCAAATATCACAGGAGTTCCATACTATGTGGTATGCAACAAAATATCGATTTTTATGAGTGTTCGACATCAATATAATCTATATATGTCTATGATTGTTCTTTTCTTGAACAGATTAACGGAAAGCAGAAGTTGAGTGGTGGCCAGCCTCCAGAGGTTTTCCTCAAAGCTTTTGATGCTGCAGCAAGTTAACAGTTTATCCCTGTTAAAAAGCTTTTATTTTTCATTTCCATATGCAGGAAGGATTTCTTTGCCTGTACTTCTAACATCGTAAATATCAGTTGACATGTACAAGTATCCTTTTCATGCGATATATTTATTTACTTATACCTTGAATCATACGGGTATAGTTTACTACATATGTTGGATGAGACAATAACAAGTTAACAATAAATGAAGATTTCACTTTCTTATATGTTCTTGTGTAATATTAGTTTTTCTTGACATTAGCAGGAAGCAAAGTTTATTTCACATGTGAGATAGCTATGAAAGATTGAAATTTGCTTTGAAGAGAATTTTTAAATTTTAGGTAGTTTTAGAATATGAAAAATTCCGCACGCCAAAACATAATCTACTAACAAGTGCATATACAATTTGACAATAAACTTAGCTTCAACTCCCGAAATGTCCTTAGTTATACTCCATTATGAACTTACCAAACTTAGTCTAAACAACATCCATCACAACAATAAAAACTGGGGGCAAAAAAAAAAAAAAAAAAAAAAAAAAAAAAAAAAAAAAAAAAAAAAAAAAAAAAAAAAAAAAAAAAAAAAAAAAAAAATTACCAAACGCTGAACATATTGATGAATTATTAAAAAAAAAAAAAAAAAAAAAAAAAAAAAAAAAAAAATACCAAACCTGAACCATATTTTGATGAATTATAAGCAGATTTTCATTCATATGGGCAAAAAGAAATTTTAACGGGTGTTTTGAAGAGACGTATTTTGGAACAATTGTTATCATTACAATTTCTTTATATTTACCATAGATAACAAACACTTTAACCTGAAATATTCACAAAAAAACTCTACACGTCTCCTTTTCGGTTTTCTTTCTTCTCCTGTTGTGGCTGGTTTCATCCACGACAAAAAAACCTATGATCAAGATCAAGTCGTTTCATCGAATACCATTGCCTGTTAATGCCAACCAAAGTAAATGCTTCAGTAAAAGTAGCAAGATTCAGGCAAAACAAGATACCTGACTTTATTGCTATTATTGCTTTTATGCTAAAAGAATGTAAAACTTTGGATCCAAAAGAAGAATATGAAAAAAAAGAACTATGATTTTGACATGCAAACATATTATTATAAAAGGGATATATCACAGAAGAAAACACAATCCAACCTTGGTTTGCAAAGAACATAATAAAAGCAATATAAGATTGTTGAATCATGCACGAGTACACAAAAGGACACAAACCACAGACCACACTACCACAAATTTTAGAACAAGGGATAGCTTTTTTCTTCCCTACTCTTTTCTCTAACCGAATTTTTTTACAAATCAAAATACAGCCATCAGTTTCCTTTTCTGGCTACTGGGACAACATGATATCTCAACCATGGGGAACTTTAAGATAATGGCGGTAGAAAAATCATTTAGAACAGTCAAAACCATGCATTGAAGAGTTGGCATATTTAGCTGAAAATTTCAATGTTTTAATGATAAGGATTTGAAGAAAACTGTCAATATCATTCAGAAAGCTCAACAATATATCTGAACGCTTCACCAATAAACAGATGCCCAACCAGTTAAAAGATGTGCTGGGTTACAAAGCCTACAAAGCCATTAGCATATTCATGTCTTTTCCAACTAAGCAGGAGATATAATTCCATTTCATTCAGGGAAAAATCAGTACCTATGTTTCTACATCAGAACCCCAAAAGATAAAACAATTCTACTTTCCCATTTTTGATAAATAAATAACGCGTTTGGGAGACAAGTGAAAGGAGAGTTTTAAAATGCAAAGAAATGAAAAGACATTAGCATGAAATCTGTTTTTTAGAGTACAATGAAAAATAAATAAAGCTCTTGCATGCTATGTGCAGGATCACGATTGAGAACTGGAAAAAGTAAAGCATGAGTTACCTTGCCACAGACTGGACAGCTGTCACTTCTTTCCATCCACTCATAAATACAACCTAGGTGGAAATGGTGAGAGCATTTTGTCACTATCTTGGGATTCTCTGGTGTATATTCTGCACGTGCAAAGGAAAGGATGACAACTTAAAGTTCAATACTGTCAGTCCACAAAAGCAAATTTAATAGCTTCATTAAACAGTTAATATCAATCAGCATTACAACCCTGAAGAATGAAACTTCCGATTCAAGATTGAATTCTAACATTCCTGATCACAGCCAAAGTTGTGTTTTCATAGAAGTTTCTTCTAAATTACCAGACAAATGCTTTTTCAAATGGAATTTTTTTTTTTCATCAATAAGATTGCAACCAATTATCGGGTGGGCAGGTCAGTAAATTAGAGGAGGAACATATATTTACAGGAGCCACGCACTTCACTTAATGTGCCTCTCCAGTTCATCTTACAAGGCAACTTCTGTAAACTTCCCCATTTTCTACATATCCATGGAGAACAAGGATAGATAGACTTTTTAACACGTCAAATTTCAGATGATGATGTTCGAGCAGCTCTTTGGCATCTCCAAAATCTTTGACCAATTTTGTGCAAATCTATACTCACTTTATGGTAAACTGGGGTTTGGTTTGAATGAATTAGCAGATAGTGTTGATAATTACATTATCTTTTTTTGGCAGTAAAGTCCAATTCATTGACAATCTTCTTGGACTAAAGTTAAAAAAAATAAAAACATATAGAAACAGTGTTTGCAGGATGTAAATAACTAAATTAATAGTTTTGCCTTCAAGAGAATGGACAGACATCCTAAGAGAGAAATATAGTTATCATGCAGTAGCTTAGTAGCTGCAACAACAATAATAGGTCAGATAAGATGTTTTACCTTCAAGACATGTTGGACAGACATCCTCATCTTCTGAAGATGAATAAATATATCCAATTCCGACAGTCGCTTTTGCTGATGAGAGCTTTAGTGAGGATCTAGCACGCTGTTCTTTGGATCCTTCTTCGCAAGCAGATGCTGTCCATTTGTCCCCTGTACTCAAGGAATCAGAATCACCATCATTATCACTTCTTAATGGTTCTGATTCCTCATGTGCGTGACTTGAGCCTTTCTCACGTCTTGAAACCAGACCATCACGCTGCAAGCGGAAGTATCTGGGATCGGCATCATAAGGCAAGGGCCTTGGAGGAGAACGATACATGTCAGAGAGAGAGTTATCAAGTGATGAAGAAGAAGTCATAGAAGCTGCCCCCTGAATGGATGAGGGGACCGAATGCACTTCCCCTCTTCGAAACAGTGAGGAATACTAAAGAAAAAAGTAAAAGAAAATTGTTCAGAACTCCATTAGAGTGAATATTAAAGGGGAAAATGTTCTCACTGTTAAATAAGTAATAATTCAAAGTCCACATAAATCAACCTGGTATCCCTAATAGCAAAGCACATAGAATCATCAATTAATTCCTCACAAAAATAATACTCTATGCTGGACTTCAGTATATACTTCAGCAACAAACTAAGACTATGGAAGCCAAGGGCTTCTCCTTGATTAAGAGCAAGCTATCAAAAATCTTTCATTTTTACCGAAAAAACTTTACCAACCCTTGCACTATGATGGTGGTAAATTCTGATGGCAAAACATAGGTGTTCAGGCCTCAAACTCAAACTACCACATTACTTTTACCCAAAAAAATAAAAAAAAATAAAAATAAAAAAAAAAAAATCAGAGGTAGTCCTATTCCAGCTGAATATGCATGCAAGCACAGTATCAATTTGTGAGAAGGGCCAAATAATCGCACATTCTCCAAAGTTGTAGGAATTGCTTCCTTGTTTAACATATTCATTACAATATCAATTTGTGAGAGCCGACATTGAAGAACAAATATGCAAATTCTTTTCCTTGTGAATCAATTTCTTTCTTTACACTTTGTCTCACACACATTGTTCTTCCTGATACTCATTGGCCCAAGAAAAATAAAAAAGAAGCAATATTTCCTATTTTAGCACTCAGTAGATATGCTTTTAGCATTATTGCATCTCATACCAAGCTACTATAAATAAGTGTTGAATCACATTTGCATGCACACAAAAAGATAGTCCTGACAGTTTCAGTTAGATTCTTAGTCAAGGATAATATAAATTGTTCCCACAGAAACTGAGATGCAAAACATCATTAAGAAAAATTAAAGTTGCTCTTGGTTAACAAGGCGTGATAATAAGAATAATGAAACATACCAAGTGTAGAAAATTCTGCAAAAAGCAACTGAGACACATGCAGTTTCTATATGCAGAGCTGTTAGGATTCATATAATCCTCAAAATCCTCGGCATGCAAACAGCAACAAACAGAACCCATTACGTCAGTTCCAATCCCTTTCTTTTACTGAAAGCCCTCCGCAATAATTCCCAAAACTCACCAGCAAAACCCAATGCCACAGCGCATAAGCATCAAGAAGTAATGCCTTGAATAAATAAATAGAGAATGAGAGAGGACTCTAAGCTCGCAGAAGTTGAATTGCCTCCGCGAACCAGTACCCTCTCTCTCCGGTTCAAGTGCCGGAGGCCTCTTTTTTATGTCGGTTAAACAATCACCATCACCTGCAAATTAGAAGAGAATATGAACATGGGAAAAAATTATGGTCCACAACATAATTCAGAAAGATCCGCTAAACGGATATCATTAGAACATAGCAAGATAAATCATCACATAAATCACAAATAATATGTTCAAAGCTCAAAATTTTTTTCCATATCTAATTGATGAACAAAAAAACATTGATAATCGATTGTTGACCAATTCAAGTTATAATAATAATATCAAATTCTTAATAGACTAACAGACTGAATAATATGCAGCTAAAAACGAGAATTATTATCAAATTCTTAACAAAATTAATGGCTGTTTTGACCATAATAGCCAATTGTTTGAAAGTTACAGTTTTTATTCCTTATCAAGGTTTTTCATTCAAAAACATGAAAAAGGGTCATTTCCATTAGCAGAAAGCAAGAATCTTAACAAACAAAAACTGGAATTTGAAAAAAACAAAAATTACCAAATCATCCCACAAACAAAAACCCAGCAAGGAAAACTATCAAAATACCAATAAATTAGAATTGAATCGAAATTCCAAGAAAATAAATTAAAAAAAAAAGATCAAATCATAAATACGCATGGATCATTCAAAATACCAAGCGTGTCAGAGCGAAAAATTTGATGAAGCAGATAAAAGTACCTGGAGGGGGAGCTGGAGAGAAGTGGAGACAGAGAAAGAGAGAGAAAAGATCGATGGAGTATGTTGTGAAGCGAGAAGAGAACCTGACATAATCCGGAAAATCGGAAAGAGCGAGAGAGAATCAAGGACTTGAAATCGGATTTATATTTCGGCGAAAAAAGCTAAGAATGCGCGAAATTAAAGCTGCCGTCTCTCTCTCTTTGATGGTGCTGGTGGTGGCCTGGTGGGTGATAGAATCAATCCACTTTCAACTTTAATTTATAATAAATAAAAAAATGGCTAGTAAAGTACTACTAATATTTGTATTTTCTTATAATTTTATTATATGGTTTTTTATTTTGTTTCTATTATAAAAATACAATAATATATACAAGTAAATGGCACAATTAGAATCTTTTAGTAGTCAAGAAATTAAATTAAAAAAAAAAAAACTTTTAAGGGTCCAATGATTCACATTCTCTATAATGGATTTTGAATATTTATTCTTATTTATTATATAAGAAATAAGAAATAACAATCAAGAAAACAATAAAGGTTTGTATGGCTGTCTACAAAAGTATTTGAGAAGATAATTAATCAATTCTGTCTAGAGAAAAAACAGGTAATCACTTAGCGAAAAAATTGATGAAACCACAATTTTGGTTGGCTTTTTTTATTTTAATAGTAAAATTTGAAATGATGGTATTTATTTATTTTTGAACATTGTCGAGGGATTCAAACTTTAATTAATTGCGAGAATGCATATGCACTTATCATTTAGTTATGTCTTGACATATAAATGATGATAGTTAATTTAATTAGATAATGATAAGAAATTCACATTTTTCTCTTCAAAGAAAGTTGTAAGAGTCTAACATTAACCTATGTATGTTTGATAAGATACATTGATGATTAAATTGTATGGATATTTTTTTAATGTTATAAAGAATTTTGGGTGTAGCTATAGCATCAAACTTTTTGTAACTGAACTGATTAATAATATACAAAACAAACAACATCACCAATTTCAACATTCAAATAAATTGGCCAAATATATAAATTCACTCATGAACTTTATTATTTCAACTTTGTGATGCCTCAACTTTTACTCTGATTCATTAAACACTTCGGCTTATAAAATTAAATCTATTAAACACTTCACTTTTCAATTTTATTTTATTGAACAATTGAACTTGCAAAATTAGATTAATTAAACATTCATTATAAAGTTTAATAAAATTAAACCTATTAATCACTTCACTTTTAAAATTTATTTTATTAAACACTTCAACTTGCAAAATTAGATTAATTAAATACTCATTAAAAAGTTTAAATTTATGAAAATTATTGTTTTAAAAAGTCATGCAGATAAAAGCCAAAATCATGATAGGTCATTCGCAATGTTTAATGTGCCACAAGTTTAAAGTTGTAAAATTCAAGAGTGAATTTATGTATTCAGCCCAGAAATCTATTGCATTGCATAAAGAAAATGTGTACTAAAGCTTAGCATCTAAAAATAAGTTTTTTTATTGTTACGTTTATTTTATAAAAAAATGAAAATTTTATTTAGAAAAAAAAAATAAGAGGAAGAAAGAGTTAAAAAGGTAAAATTACATGATTTAACACATGGTAAGATAAAGGATCAAACATAATTAAACCATTTGACAATACGATATTTATTAAAAACTATTAAAACTTCCAAATTTTCAGATTTAAACTCTTCAAATTTAAATTTTCCATGATGATCTCTTTTGTTTTTGCCCTAAATATTCAAGTTCTCAATTTATTAGAAGAGCATTGAGTTTGTTACAATAGAAATTTATTCATCTTGTTCTAGCTTTTTTTTTTTTTTTTTTTTTTTTCTCCAAAATTTTCAGATTTAAAACTTCTTTCAAATTATAAATTTTCCATGCATGATCTCTTTTGTTTTTTGCGCCTAAAATATTTCAAGTTCCTAAACAATCATTTATTAGAAGCGCATTGAGTGTTACACGTCTAAGGATGAATTTAATTTCAGTCTCTGTTCTTAGCTTTTGTTTTTTTTTTTTTTTTCTTTTCACTTTCTTCATCTACCTTTTTTTTTTTTTTTTTTTTTTTTCCAACTTCTCTACCAAGTCCACGATATATTTCATTATTATCACTATGTTTTTCAATTATGTCGATTGTTTTATTCATCCTTTGATACTCGTTTTTATATCCTGATCATTTGCACTTGAAACTTCCTTTTGGTTAACTATTTTGCTCGTTTTCTACATATATTTAGCATAATTGAAAATACCTTGTGCAATTTCCCAATAATTTACGAGATCGTTTGTTCTCATCTTTTAGTCTCTTTTAAGCAATCTTTTTAGTAAGGAAGCTCTTCCGTTTAATCCATAAGTCACTTTTCTATCTTTAGAAATTTTAATATATTCAAAGTGATGGGAGCTGAGAATTATTCGGCGGAAGCAAATTAGTATCGAAACAAGTACGAAAGTAAACTAAAACACCAATCACATAAGCATTAATTTGTTTTAGAGCAGAATCACTCATCGGTGTTTTTTCTAGAAAGTCACCTTGTAGTTTTCTGCTATGTGACTTTAATTAATTCTATAAATTTTATTTTTTATTTTTATAAAAAAACTAAAGACAAGATAAAAAAAGAACCATCTGTCACATGAATTTAAAAAAAACGTTAAAAAGATTTAATCCTAATTATTTTTCAAAGTTGTATCTCATTTTCTTTATAAAAATTTGATATTTTTAGCCATAATTAAATTTTATAATAAACTTATTTAAATAAAAATGTTAATTGTTATCATGGTGATATTAATAATAGAATTTTAAAATTTTAATTTGAATTTGTTTAAAAGAAAATAAATGAGAAAAATTTTCAAAAAACTTATATGACTTGAAATTAGAACATATTAAATTATATAAATTGAACACATATATATGAACCTACCCCTTCTTTAAAACTAAAAATTCCACCATTAAACCAAGTTTATGAACGGATTTTTTTAAGATATTACAAGTTGAATTTCGTACAACAACAAATTTATAGGTTATTAAATTTAAAATTATATTGAAAAAATGTAATTACTATTTAATTTTTATTTCAATTTTAATATTTATTTTTGTATAAAATAATTAAAAACCTTTCCACGTCTTTGTAATAAATGAAATTATGAAATAATCATTCCTGAAAACGCCAGAAAATGATTCATTCACTTACTAGTTACAATTCCAAGCTTATTAATAAGAAACGAGAAATAAAAGACAGTATAGACAGGACAACAGAGTAGGACCAATGTCCGCTGCAATTTGATGATACGTCAATAATACATTACATTCTCTAAAATAATTCATAGCTTAACAGTTAATCAAAATCACCAACCGCAGAGCGGGACCTCCATTTTTGAATCTTTTTAACTTTTTCTCTATCTCTGGTTTTCCATTTCAGGATCTTAATGCTAACCCAAACCCGCTTACTCATAATAATACTACAGTCTCTCTATCTATTCTTCTCACAATTTCTTCTTCTTCTTCTTCTTCTTCCTTTTGCCGGCCATATTGCCACCTACATTTGTCAGATCTGTTTGTCCTTACACATACACTCTCTCTCTTCAGAGAAATCTAGGGTTTTTGCTTGTTCTCTCTCGCTTCCTTGTATGCAGACGCATCCTAATTCAGATTGAATATTAGGGCCTTCCATCCTGAGTCAAACCCTAGTTTCTTTCGTAATGCCAACCTCACGAAGCTTAATTTCATGTTTTAGTTCGAGCATAATGCCAGTTTAGTATCAGAAATCACCACTGGCGGAAATCGGAATTCTGAAAATTTTTTAATAATGCAGAGCTCAGCCAGCTCAGTAGCGCAACCTGAGGCCATATTGGAGTGGCTTCAAAAGGAGATGGGGTATCGGCCGTTGGGACCGTACAGTGCCCCTACGAACAAATCGCAATTGCCCTCCACTGATGCGCTTCGGAAGATTTGTCGGGGAAATATGATACCCGTTTGGAATTTCTTGATGAAAAGGGTGAAATCGGAGAAAACCGTGGAGAGTATAAGGAAGAATATAATGGTGCACGGTGGTGTTGAGAGTGGCAGTTCAGTAAATTTGGGAAAGGAGGAGGGTCGGAGTAAAGGAGCGAGGAGGAAAGAGAAGGTGTTGGGGGAGAGTTCTAGCTCGGCAGAGAGTAGGGAGGCTGCTTTGCAAGAAAGGGAAATGGCAGCAAAGGAGGTGGAGAGGTTGAGGAACATTGTGAGGAGGCAGAGAAAAGATTTGAGGGCAAGAATGATTGAGGTCTCAAGAGAGGAGGCTGAGCGGAAGAGAATGCTTGACGAGCGTGCAAAAAACAGGTCTGGCGTTTGAAAGTTTGATGCAATTTCGTTCTGTATCATGATTGCACAGTTTAAATGGTTTTGTGTGTTTATTTCCAAGGACAGTGTTGTTTGTCGCTCTGGCATTGAGGAATGGAAAAATTGCTTTATCTAGAGTTGTTTTACACGTGTGCAAGAATATGTGTAATTTTTCTTGTAAGTTATCAGACTTCTTTAATTTACTAATAATACATATAGTGTTATGGGAACTAGGGAAGTGATGGATGCAAAAGTTGGATGGCGTGGATTTTATTAGTTTTGAGAGGAATGAAGAATTGCATCTATTGTCTTGGCCTATAATTAGGTGGATCTATTTCTACTTTCATAGACAATGCTAATATTATATTCTCAGTGGTAAGAGGGAAACATTCTAGAGATTTTTTTTTATAATTTTTTTTGAGGAATTGATGGTGTATGGTTTTCAATTTGGAATGTAGGATTACTTGGATTGTGAGACCACTTATTTGTTAATTATGATGATGGTGCATCAGCCTAGTGGCTGTGCATAGTTACTTTCAACACTATTATATGTTGTGCCAGGGCTTTGTTATTTTGCACTTGAGAGTGTCTGCGTCTTATTGCACTTCCACTGTTCGTATTGGACCTCCAGAAAATAAAAATATTCTGCCATTTCATTTCTGTGAATTTGAGTGTTAAATCACATTTCATGGATACGAATATGTGGCTGTTTCAAGATTGCTAAGTATTTTATTGATTTGGATATACGCAAGTGCCCTTAGTTTCGGTAATCGTAATTTTTATGTGAAACTAGATATTATACTTCTATTCGATATTCTTTTGTTAAGCTATAAAGCATTAGATAGTCTGCCGAGATTCTGATTTATTTTGCTTCATGGACCAAGAAATTTGGTTCAGGATTCTGAAAGTGATGAACTTTGCTTAGCATTGATGATTTATTATTGCTACTGCAGGCATAAGCAGGTGATGTTGGAGGTTTATGATCAGCAATGTGATGAAGCAGCAAAAATATTTGCCGAGTATCATAAACGTCTTTCTCATTATGTTAATCAAGCAAGGGATGCTCAAAGGTCAAGTGTTGACTCTTCCATTGAAGTAGTTAGCAGTTTTAGTGCAAACAGTGAGAAGGAAGCTGTGTATTCAACTGTTAAGGGCACTAAATCTGCGGATGATGTCATACTTATTGAAACAACTAGAGAAAAACATATTCGGAAGGCATGTGAATCTCTTGCTGTTCATATGATTGAGAGAATCCGCAACTCCTTTCCAGCTTATGAAGGAAGTGGTATTCATTTGAATCCTCAATTAGAAACAGCAAAGTTGGGTATTGATTTTGATGGAGAATTACCAGATGAGGTTAGAACTGTTATTGGAAATTGCTTGAAGAATCCTCCACAATTACTTCAGGCAATTACAGCATACACTTTACGACTGAAAACACTGATTTCTAGAGAAATAGAGAAGATTGATGTCAGAGAAGATGCAGAAACCTTAAGGTAACTTATATTTTCGCATCATTCCATATTGTGGCGTATAAGATCACTTCTTTCGCTGTTTCTCAAAGTTGAAATGATTGCATATCTAGCATTATTTAAATACAGTTTTTGCCTATTGTTATTTGAGAGTCTTGGAGCAGTCTTTTATTTGCCATACGTATACCCCAAGTGTAATGTTGCTTGCAGAATACAGTATTTGGTAGTCTACTCCCTTGATTTGATCTTACATGGTGCGAATGTCTAAATTGATATTTTGGATATCTTTTAAATCCTATTACCAATACTAAGTAGCAGTAAGAAAATTATCCTGTATTTCGCATGTTTGTTTCTGGTATAATTTGCATTTGGCAGACTGGGAATGGCTTTTTTCTTTTCAACAAATGTGAAATGAATGTCAAGTTAAACTGAATATTGTTAACATTAATGCTGATGAAAAAATGCCTTTACAACCTTACTGTGGTCCCATAGTTTCACACGTAGTTTTCTCCCCCTTGCGTTTGTATGCAAGTCCTGCAGTACTACGAATTATCCACAGCTTTGTGCATCCCCGTTAATACTAAATGTTTAGCTGGGATCTTCATATAAGAGATGTATAAAACATCTCTCAATAGATCTAAGTTACAAAATAATCAGTCTTATGTTTTGCTTGCTACTTTGGTGGAAGAGAAGCATAATGCATCTTTCAATTGATCTAAGTTACAAAATAATCAGTCTTATGTTTTGCTTGCTACTTTGGTGGAAGAGAAGCATAATGCATCTTTCAATTGATCTAAGTTACAAAATAATCAGTCTTATGTTTTGCTTGCTACTTTGGTGGAAGAGAAGCATAATGCATCTTTCAATTGATCTAAGTTACAAAATAATCAGTCTTATGAATCAGTCTTATGTTTTGCTTGCTACTTTGGTGGAAGAGAAGCATAATGCATCTTTCAATTGATCTAAGTTACAAAATAATCAGTCTTATGTTCGCTTCACTCTCAGTTAAGCCATGTACTGAGAAAGGTAGATTTTTATTGTAAGTTTGGTGGGAGAGGCTTCAAGAATGAGTAAGACTTTGGGCTATGGCATTGTCTGAAATTTTTATAATATGGTGATTGTGGCAACAGAAGTATCTTAAATCCTTACTGTTGGACACATGTTGGTGTTAGCTCCATTAGAATCTGTATTCCTTGAACAAATAAGTGAAGGTTTGCGTTTAGCCAAGAAAACAAAGCTGAATGTACATTCATCTCAATGATTTCTCATAATGGATATGCAAATTATTTTTATTTTGTTTATTGTAAAAATTTATCTACTAATTTTACAGTGGGTTTATCTCTTAACATTAGGATAATCAGATTAATAATTTTTAATTTCTTCATCAGATACAAGTATGAGAACAACCGAGTAATGGACATTTCTTCTTCTGATGTGAGCTCACCATTAAATTATCAACTTTATGGCTATGGAAAGATTGCAGCAGATGTGCCCTCTAAAGGAACTCAAAATCAACTTCTTGAACGACAGGTTTCCCTCTTTCTAGATGTTAGCTTCTGTATTTGTAGTAGATCTTATAGTTTTTGTGAAAATAATCTGTCTTGTATGTTTACTTTTGAAGTTAATGTTTCTTTCCCTGCCCCATAAAGTCTTATTTGTCAATGAGGTTAATGACTTTGGGTGCCAAACTCATGCCCTGCTAGTTTTGAAGAGGCATGAACAAATGGTTTTGCATTTATATGTTTTCTTTTTTCATATATTGTGTGTGCATGTACATTTTAGCAAAATCTGTTTTCTCTAATCTTTTCTGGCTATGTTTACTTGATGTTTGTTTTATGTTGTTGCAGAAAGCTCATGTTCAGCAGTTTTTAGCTACTGAAGATGCAATTAACAAAGCTGCAGAAGCTAGGGACATGTGTCAAAAGCTTATAAAACGCTTGCATGGAAGTGCTGATGTAGTTTCATCACACTCACTTAGTGTTGGAGGCACATCACAGAACATGGGCGTCAGGCAATTTGAGGTAATTTCTCAACCTAATCTATCTATAATCTGTGTTTGTTAATTATTGTTGTGCTTTGTTGTTTGCCTATTTCAACACTTGCTTCCTCATATTGAACTTCGATTAAACAATGGTGCGTGTATCATTAATTTTGCCTACTGAGTTCACCTTTTTTTGTGACTTCTGCTTGTTTGTAGAAAATATTTTCTTGGTTAAAAGGAAAATCAAGTCATTTTAAAGGAAAACAATTTCCTTTAAGTGAGGAAAACAGTTTTTGAATATTGACAAACTTATTATAACAAAACAAAAAGCTTATAAACACATTTATTAATTCATAGATTACTGATAGTCACTGTTACTGACCACCTCATTGCTTATCGCCACCATCACTGATCATTGACGACTTTCACTGTTTTTAGTATTAATAATAAAATTTTAAAATATTATTTTGTAGTCTTGTAAATTACAATTTTAATATTTTTTAACTGATTTTTAATATTGCGACCAAATTCTTGGGAATTACTTTCCCAATGTAAATTATTTTTTAGAAACAATGAGCCTAAAATATATTTCGTTTCTTTTTGGTCTATGATAAAGTCATTGGCATCTCATAGGATCAAGAATCTCATCGCTAGACCATAATCTGTTTAGCTAAATGAGGTTTGAAGGGCTTGATACTTTGACAACTATATGTTAAACGATTTTCATCCTTTTATAACTCGATAATCTATTATGACCTTCCTAGGCAAGTTGTTCCTGGGTGTTGATTTAGGATTTAATCTTGGTGGGATCATTAACGAGACTTAAGCGTGGTAAAAAAATAATGTGTTTGATTTTAAGAAAGCTTAAGTTCAGCATAGTTGTTGCATTTTTGACAGCTTGTTTTTGGCATAAAGTTGTATACTGTTGTAACATGTATGGGAACGCTTCACTATATTGTGGCTTCCGAATTCCATAATTTGTACTTTGGATTATTACCGAGTCATGGCAAACTGTAATGATTTCTCAATTTTATGGATAGTACCTAAAAAAGGCCCTTCCAAAATCTGTGTGATATGTGCCTTTTCCTCCCATTAGTTATTTTCACTGCCAAGTGCCAGCATTATACTGTTGGCATTCATTCCAATTCTAGCTTTGCCTGTCTGGAAACCACTTTTTTTCTTCCTCCAAAATGTTTCATTTCTACCTGCTGCTGCTTCTGCTAGAAATATCTGAATCCTTAATGCAAATGGACATATTATCTTGAAGGACACTTTACAGTGTTGATGTTCTACGCTAAGCATAGTTACCTTGAGAGGCGCATTTAGGCTAAAACTATCGTAAATACTAATATAGCTAAATTAATTGGACCATGATTTTACAAGCCAAGTACTCTAGGACATTATTTCCCTTTGTTTGATTTTTTTCTGCATCTATCTTATACTAAATTTTCAGGTTTCTAACTGCATTTACTGCTTACAATGCACCTGTGGTTTTATGGCTTAACCAATCCCTCCATTCTCGTTATGCAGTTGGAGGTTTGGGCCAAGGAGAGAGAAGCTGCTGGACTAAGGGCAAGCCTGAGTACCTTGACATCTGAAATTCAGCGATTGAATAAACTGTGTGCAGAGAGGAAAGAGGCTGAAGATTCTTTGAGGAAGAAGTGGATGAAAATTGAAGAGTTTGATTCACGCAGATCTGAACTTGAAGCCATATACACTGCTTTACTGAAGGCTAACATGGTATGATATCAATTATTCTGTAATTTTCTGAAGTGGTCTGTCTGATATTTAGTCTAGTCTTGTTTTGATAATTGTTGATTCATTAGTTAGAAAATTCAAAATCCCTGTCTATCGACTTTACTTTTGAAGAAGAATTTACCCACAAATATTTGTGTCTTGTTATGCAGCAAAAGTGAATGTGATTTGCACAAGTATTATTTTTATGTGCTACGGCTGATGCCTGGCTTATGGGAAGTATACCACAAAGACCTTTTTGTAAAATTTTTTAAAGCCGGTGCCTAAAAAAATGAAATAAGGTGACAAATACAAGCTATTTGAATGAAATCCTCGAAATAATTCTTTTAGCTGAGGAACAGAGTGGCCAACATCATTAAATGGTGTGAATTTCTTCTCAGCCTCACATTTCATAAGATGGTATTAATTCCTATGGTATACAAGTAAAAGTGGGAGGCCCTATCTGGCATCAATCAAGCTGAGGTAGGACCAAAGAAATTGAAGCCTAGATATAGAATGTACTCATGAATCTTTCTATTGATGTAGCTAAAGTATAAACCGAGTGGAACAGAAGAATGATTATTGACTCTCAATTAGATTCGAATTAAGGATTAGTTGAGTCAAGTTGAATTGTGATGATGTTAAGAAAAGATGAATATCAACAGACCTTCATAGCTGCCTGAATGAAGAACAATGTGATCAACCCATTCCACATTCCTCTTGCATATAGAAACTTAAATAATCACGTGTGTCCCTCATTCTCAAGTTTTCTGCTGTTGTATTTATGGATAATCGCAAGCTTGTGATTAGGAATAGTTACATATAGCCAACAAATTGGATTCTTCAATTGTTGCGTTCTGACTTCATCTAAGACATTAGAAAGTTCATCCATTTACTGTAGTTTTGTATCCTGCACTTCTATGGTAAGTGAAGGTGTCAAATTTAATGTTTGTTCATCTTGTACCATTCTCCAGAGTAGGCAAGTTTGGAAACCTTTAGGGGGTCAGCACACTGTTGCATCTAGCTAAAATACAACCTGTTCCATTCCTCACATAAAAGGTGCTTCTCAATCAACACCCTTCAGGGAATTTTGAAGTTTGATGACATCCTAGCTAGCCAAGTCCTAAGGCTCAGTTTTGCTGGTGACATTAATGTTTCATATGATAGTTGATCTGTGCTTATTAATAATGCATATGTGCAGTATTTGTTTTATTTTCTTCATTTGATGCCTTTCCATTTCTTTAAGTGCACTGCTGTTTTATTCCATATGAACTGTATGGAATTTGGAGTCAACCAAGGAAGTCAGTTATACTTATGCTTCTGTTTTTTGCCTTGTAGGATGCAGCTGCATTTTGGCATCAACAGCCATTGGCTGCAAGGGAATATGCGTCAAGTACCATCATTCCAGCATGTGCAATTGTTGCAGATATTGCAAACAATGCAAAAGATCTTATTGATAGAGAAGTTACTGCGTTCTCTCAGAGTCCTGATAATAGCCTGTACATGCTTCCTTCAACGCCTCAGGTTTGTAAAATTGCAACACTAGTATCTGTTGTCTAATCCTAGTTGATATGCAATTACTGTGGCAAGGAACAAATCATAATTTTCTCATATACTATTTTAAATATTTGTCCAAGGGGATAAACCATAATCCCTCAATCACGTTTCTTCTTGTTGTTGTAGATGTTTTGGTTTGTCTTTCTGGTTTGATAAATTAAATTTTTTTTTAAAGAAGGCAGCCCGATGCATGAAGTCCCGCATTGCACGGTTCTGGGGAAGAGTCGGACCACTTTGGATCTATAGTACGCAGCATTCCCTTGTATTTTTACAAGATGCTGTTTTCACGACTTGAACCTGTGGCCTCAAAGTTACACGGCGATAACTCTACAGTTGCACCTAGGCTGCCCTTCAATACATTAAATTAATGTCAATAAAATATTTATGCTCCTTTGACACCTTTTCCTTTCTTTCTTTATGTATTTTACATATTAAATTCCATCAGGCACTCTTGGAGTCCATGGGTTCTAGTGGATCCACAGGACCTGAAGCTGTTGCTGCTGCAGAGAAAAATGCTGCTTTGTTGACTGCAAGAGCTGGTGCTCGGGATCCATCAGCAATTCCATCCATCTGTCGTGTATCTGCTGCCCTTCAATATCCTTCTGGTGAGTTCTTATTTATCTCTAGCTAGATGCATGTCTATCTTTTAGTATTACTTTTTGGTTGGGTACTGACAGTTACAGCAGAGATTTTATCATTTACTCGTTACGTTTCTACCAAATACTGAATTAATAAGAATTAATTGGATTTAAGCCATGGCATATATTATTTGCGGTGACTGAAACATGTCTAAAATCTGGTCAGATTTCATATCAATTAAACAAATTGCTTGGGTTTTTCTGGAAATATGTATTTTGTCTTAGTGTTCTAGTTGCTGTCAGCTTTCACCCTTGGAAGACCACACATGTTTCAGTTTTTGGCTCCTAGTTGGCTGGATGCCAATTATCTGAATAATGTGATAAATTTTTAAAAGTCCAGCTGAAAGCTAGACTTGTTCAGTGTGGTCTGATAATATATTTTTCTTTGGTAGCATACTATTAATGAGCTTCTTTGAAGAAAATGAATATCCCATAGAAGTTTTGGAGATTTTTCCCCCTTATATACTAAGGGCTGGCCAGACCACATTCCTTCCTGTGCAGAACTCTTTAACCATACTTTTGAAGCCTAATAATTGTTGAAGGCAAAGACAAACACTAGCCTTTGGCTGTACACAAGTTAAAATGAAGAATTAAGAGCGATAATATGTCGTTGACTGCTGAATGGAGTAAATGTTTCTCCTTACTCTAGATGACTTTGGTAGTTAGTTTCAGTAGCAGCAAAAGTTTAACTGTTAGAGGTATTAAGTTGACAATTAGTCATGGTCAGTTGACAATATTCTCTGTTCTAGATATAGTCTAGCTGTCTATTCCTGCCAATGGCGGCTTTAATGTCAATTTATGTCTGTAAGATTGTTGATCATACCTTGATATGAGTGCTGAAAAGTGGTTTGAGAAATTGGGAAAAATTTTAATGACTTGGCATGAGTTTAATATATTGCCTACTGGTGGGTAGGTGGGATGCATCGAATCATGCCCAATGGCCATACATGGTCTTATTTTCATTTATTTTATTCCACTTGAATGATCCATCATTTACAACCAGGTCTGGAGGGTTTTGATGCTGGTTTAGCATCAGTGCTAGAGTCTCTGGAGTTCTGCTTGAAACTTCGTGGCTCTGAGGCTAGTGTATTGGAGGAGTTGGCAAAGGCAATCAATCTTGTCCACATACGACAGGATCTTGTTGAAAGTGGTCATGCATTATTGAATCATGCATACCGTTCTCAACAAGAGTATGAAAGGTAAATCGAATATGGATAAATCTGTTTTATTATTTGATTACAAAGTTATTCATGGAGTCCCTTTTTTTTTTTTTTTTTTTTTTTTTTTTGAAAGTGGTTCATGCATTATTGAATCATTGGCATTACGTTTCTTCAACAAGAGTATGAAAGGTAAATCGAATATGGATAAATCTGTTTTATTATTGATTACAAAGTTATTCATGGAGTCCTTTTTTTTTTTTTTTTTTTTTTTTTTGGAAAAAATATTTTTTTTTTTTTTTTTTTTTTTTTTTGGAAAAAATATTCTGCATTCAAAATAATCTATTCTCCTTTTATTATATCTTGACTTGGAAGACCGAAACCAAGTTGTGTAGGAAGTTAAATAATGACTTGTTCCAGAAGTTTTGCCTATTTGTTAAACTTTGGTCAGCTTTGATAAGTTTAGCAGTTGTTCACTATGCCATGCAGGACTACAAATTATTGTCTAAGCTTGGCTTCTGAGCAAGAAAAAATTGTCACTGAGAAATGGTTACCTGAACTTAAAACAGCAGTTATGAATGCTCAGAAGTGCTTGGAAGATTGCAAATACGTGCAAGGTTTGGTGAGTAACCACAGTAATCAATAGTTAATTAATGTTTCATTGCACCAGTTCCATGTCTTTCAACTAATTTTTTTTATATAATTCTGAAATTAATTATCAAGTCTTTCATGCATGTTACTTCAGCTTGATGAGTGGTGGGAGCAACCGGCATCTACTGTTGTTGACTGGGTCACTGTTGATGGACAAAATGTTGCTGCTTGGCACAATCATGTCAAGCAACTTTTTGCATTTTATGATAAAGAGCTCTTGTAAAAACTATCGATTACCAGTGCCAAAGAACTCCTAGTTCAGTTGCTCATACTTGGACATTTTGCCATAGCTGTGCTGTTATGTAAAAATTACTTCAGCAAGTACTGTTGGAAGCATGAAAAAATCCTTGGAGATGCAAATGAAGACATTTAAGAGAATCTTTCGATTTGTTATGTAGAGTGAGGATGGTGGTTGGATGCATTTTGAATGGTAGCCACGGATGCATCTTCTATCGAGAGAAGGGGGACAGTGATTAGGCATTTTCCATTCACGATTCAAATCAAGGGCATAATCTATTGATTTAGGAGGTACAAGAGATATTCCGGGAGGATCTCGCATGCTTTGAGGGTCTTATGTTTGGGAGAATTGTTAAGTTTTCACCACTAATTTTGTATAGAATGGATCTTCAATATAAATTATAATGTCTTGTATGTTAGCCATTTGTTGTTCTTGGGTTGTGAGTTGGTTTGAGGCTTTTCAATAATGCCATTTAAAAAGTTGTAATTCTAACCATTTGTATTTGTAGCTTAATCTGCTTCACTACAACTATTTTTTTTTTTTTAATTGAATCGAAGGGTCTTATGTTTGGGAGAATTGTTAGCTTCTCTTAAAATTCACATGATTAGGGTGGAAAACAGCAATTGGCTCGAAAGGTGCTTCTCTAATGTGAATCAATGTGTCTATATAGAGTTCGTCTACTGAAGAAATAATTTATTTAGGGAAAGAGCACGAGCAAGAGTTTAACTTTGTTTTCAAATTTATTATTCCATATTTCTCGTTTCAACTGTAGTTTAAGATAATTATAGAAAGTTAAAAAAATTATTAAATAACTTAAATTCTATAACAAAAATAGGCTTCTTTTATAATTAATCCTAATTTGAATGAGCAAGAAGTGGATAATAAGTTGTAAGAGAAATGCAGCTTGGAAAGGCTCAACAACTTTGAGATTAACAAAAATGGAGTAGACCCTCATGTAGGATTTGCTTGTAAATCTTATTTCAGGAAGGGTTCAGTTGGGGATTGGAAAAACCATTTATTATCAGCTGAAATGAAACAAAGACTATAAAACGTTACCGTTTACCAAGATTTTAAGGTTAATTTGATTATGTTTTAGTGTTAGAGTTTAGTCTCTTTATTCTTCTCTACAATAATTCATGTTGTTCCAAAGTAATTACTCTCTGTTAATCTCAAACCCAATAATTCAGTCGTGTAATCACAATGTTTTGAATTCAAAAAAAAAAAAAAAAAAAACAAAAAAAAAAAAAAAAAAATCTTTATAAAAAAAAAAAAAAAAAAAAATCTTTATAGTTATTTAGAAGAAAGGGATATTTCAATATCCAAGTCTTATCTGTTAGCCACATCTCCTACTTTTTTTATATATTGGTAATATTTGTCAGCCAAAACAAATTTAAAGTTGAATTGCGACATTTGAATGAGCCGACAATGAACATCACCACTAATTTGGCCCGTGAAGATTGGACATGATGATGTGGTTTCATCACTTAAATACACACTTGTTCCGTGAACCAAATGAAGCTCATTGCCTCATTTCGATTTCGACAAAGCGTCTACTTCAGATTATAATATATTAAATGTAAACTTTTAAATTATCATTTTTCAATGAGTTTTTATTTAATAAAAATTTTAATCAATAAATTTACGAATTAACTCGATTCGATTATAGTAAACAAGCTTCAACTCAAGTTTGAGTCCATCAATGAGCTCCAATATATATAATATATCATCCACAATCTTTTTGTCTATTACAAAAAATATATAGAACTAAAATTTTTCATCGGTTAATATGATGCCACCTCAGCAGTTTTGCTGTGATAGCGTCTATGTTATTTTTTCTTAATTTTTAATTGCATTCTAATTTGATTTTTTTTAATAATATAATTAATCATTATTATTTTAAAATAATAAAATAATAAAATATTAAAATATTAAAATAGAGAGGTAAACAATCACGTCACCTTTGATATTCCAAGTTTAATTTTCAAGAAACACGTAAGCTCGAAGTTGTAGGAAATATAATCTCATTGGACAGAGAATGTAAATATTTTTGTACCTTTCAAGAAAATCTATTTTTTTAAGGAATTGAATTTGTATTTTCATATTTACGGGATCGAGATTGCTTTCCACTGCATCTAAACTAAAATTAATAATAATAATAATAATAAAAAGTAGTGAAACATTGTTGACTTCCTTAAATCACAGAGATTATGACTGTGTTCTGCAATAACTTTTTAAACAATTTTTAGCGTTTTGACCGTTATTTAAAAAGTTGTTCAGTAACGTAGCATTTGGACTAGGTTTCAGAAGTTATGGTAGTGTTTTGTGAAAAATTAACTCATGTACTTCTATAACATTTAGCTTGTGGCGTTTCATGAAAAGTTACTCAAACAGCTAATAGTTAAACGCTATTAAAACATCTAACAGTAACCAAAATAACTAATTTTTCCCTAACAATCCCTAAAAGTGAAAGTATTAAATTACACTAAATTAAAGTTTTTTTAAATAAATAGTAGATTTATTAAATATGATTATTTAAGAGAATATAATTTAAATTTTACTATCATGTCATCTAATAGATAGAAAATGTCTAATTGACTAAAACATTTCTCTCTTCCTACCTCTCTGCAATAGATTAAAAAAAAAAATCAATGTATAAATATTTTTATGTTTTTTTTTTTTTGGATGGATTTTGTTTCAGATCTTAATAAAACTCTAATTTACTCATAAAAATATAATTATATATTATAACTTATATATATATATGATATATATTCTTATTTTTCATTCTTAAAATGGAATCAAGTAAGGAAGCTCATACAAGCAATACTATTATATATATTCTAATTTTTCATTCTAAATGGAATCAAGTTAAGCTGAAGCTCATACAACAATACTATTGAGTTAAACTTATCCCGAAGTGATGGTCGGCTCCTTTTTAATAAGCTCGGACAGAAGTTGATAAAACGGGGTTCAATTTAATTACACATTTGTCCCTGACTCTCTTCACTTTGGAGAAAACGACAGAACCATTGAAACGTAAATGTAACTGAATCTGCGGAATGCATGCAAAATACAAGAAAATGAGCACATTTTTGTTGAATTTGGAGTCTCAGTAATTAATCGGTGCACTTAAAGCAATGCAACAAACTATTCAAGTTTGAACTTTCGTGTTTTGTTTGGGTATTTAAATGACTTCTAATTGATTAATTCAAACAAAAAGAAACTCTGTGAATCTCCTTATCAAGCATATTGCATATTCTACTGTGAAAATCTTGTCGAGGAAGAGAAAAGAAATCAAATAAAAGATAAAGATGGGAGTTTTGAACTACACAAAACCATGTGCACATACAGTACACAGACAAAAACCTCAGGCTCAGAATCACATGTTGCACAAAATGATAGGATTTCTTTAAGTCTTGGTAGCTTCTACAAGCATTATTAAAATCTTTGATCATTTGCATTTTTTGAAATCAAAGAATCTAAGTATATAAGCAAGCATATAATTGCCCTACTTGTTTATTTTTTGTCTAAAAGTGAAATAACATTAACCCATCAAACAAACATCATTCTCAAATTATTTATTTATTTAAAAAAAAAAAAGAAAAAGAAATCTGTGGCTACGCTGCATGTCTCGTGAACTAACAGGGACCCAACTACAATATCCTTCATTGGTAATTTTACACCAAGAAAGGAACAAACTCCATTAATGATGGTGAAATAAAGGCAACAAAAAGGGTTAGAACAGTTTCAAAACACTGTTTGTTCATGCTTGTCTATTCCAAAAATTTACCTTTCTTTTGAGCTGTTTGGTGGTAGGAAAAATAACTCAGCATTCACTGCTGCTAGTTTGCAGTTGACTGGTTTTTGCATGAATGATATAAAGAGCCTTGATGGGTCAGGTTTTATAAGTGCAACAATTGATTTAAATGCTTACCCATTTTGAACTCTCATTCTAAGAGAGCTTCTTAGTCACAAAAAGAGAAGAAAAATACCCAAAAGGAAAAACAAAATGTCTTGTTTTTTCGTTATATTCTTTCTCTGTTTCACATTAAATAACCTGAATCTTTCACAAGCTAGGCCTTTGCAGAACCTTCCCTCTGCTGTTGTTGTTGGTACTGTATACTGTGACACATGTTTCCAAGAAGATTTCTCAAAGAACAGCCGCTTCATTTCAGGTTAATCCTTTTTTAATTTTCTTGCATTTCTGGTATCAAATTCTTTTTCTTGGTTCTATTTTTCATTTCTTGTATCAATTTCTAGCAAGTTGATAGTCTGAGAGACAACTTTATATTTTAGAATTGTATGATATTAAATATTTTGGGATGATTTTGCATGCAGGAGCATCTGTTGCAGTGGAATGTAGAGATGAGAATGCAAAAAAGGGATTTTACCAAGAGGTGAAAACAAATAATCATGGAGAATTCAGAGTTCATCTACCTTTCTCAGTTAGTAAACATGTAAAGAAAATCAAGAAGTGTTCAGTCAAGTTGATAAGCAGCAATGAGCCATACTGTGCAATAGCATCAACAGCAACTTCATCAACTTTACATTTAAAATCAAGAAAACAAGGGATACACATTTTCTCAGCTGGGTTTTTCAGTTTCAAGCCTCAAAATCAACCAAATCTTTGTAACCAGAAACCTAGTATTCAAGATTCTAAAGAACTCAATTCCCAGAAAATTTCATCAATTCCTCCTTTTAGTACTCCTATTAGTAACCCAATATTTCCACCTCCACTTGAAGACCCAACAATCCCTAATCTTCCTCCGGTTACTCAAAACCCTGTCCCACCAGTTCCTACAATTCCTCTACTTCCAAATCTGCCACCGTTGCCTCAACTCCCTCCTCTGCCAAATCTGCCACCACTGCCACCACTACCACCACTTACACCGTGGCCTGGCAAAACCACCACCACTACTTCTTTGAAAAATAACCAAGAATTAGATCAAACAGAAGCCAAACCTAATTTTTTCTTTCCACCACCAATTTTTCCACCATTATTTCAGCCACCGCCATTGTTCCCTCCATTGCTTCCTCCAAACCCACTTCAGCCTGCTCCATCACCATTGATTCCTCTACCACCAATTCCAGGCTTAACTCCATCACCGCCACCACCAGTCTTTCCATTTCCATTTCCATTTCCTTTCCCCCCTTCACCACCTCCAAGAATCCCAGGAATCCCTCCTGCTGCTTCTTCTTCTTCTTCTTCTTCTTCAAAGAAAACATCTCCTTGACTTATAAACAGTATCCCGTAATTATATATGACTGTAACATTATATCCAATAACTATGTCTAGAAAAATTAGGCCAATTTTTCTTTTTCTTTTTTCCTTCACTATTTTTCCTGTCTATGTAGAAAATTATATATGTTTACATAATATGATATATGGTAATGGGATTGGCAGATTGGGCTTAATGTTCAATAGTAGTGTGTTAATTGTCTTTTCTTGTTAACGAGAGTGAAATAACAGAGAGTTATTGTGGCTATACAAAGGTACTTCCTTTTTTTTTTTTTAAATAGGGTTTTATGAGAGTTTATGTAACCTTATTATCATAATGACAATTTTAGGCCATATGTATAAATTCTAAGAAAAGTCTAATGACTGACATAACTTTATTTTAACATATTAAACACTTAAGTTATAAATTTCACCTTTTTTTTAGTAAATGAAGAGGGAAAAACGAAACAAACTAGAGCATAACCTAAAATAATGTACACCTTTAAAATCATGAGGAGGTCATGATGAAATACTAGCTGCAGGACCTTTTAGAAGATGCAGTCCCAAAGGAAGAAATGGAGCAAAATTAACAATTTCACCAGCACAAAAATTAGCTTCCCAAAAATGTGGAAATCCGAAAATGAGCTCCATTATGCGGGAGAGCTTTGATCTGTTTCACAATGGCCTTCGCTAAACCAGGAAAAAAATGGAATTATTAAGAACTTGCGGAGCTGACAAATTATCCGTTTCAATGTAAAGATTGGTATATCCAATGCTTACCGCAAGCTTAATGCCACTTACAGTCGTCAAAGCTCAAAATTTAAAATTTTATCTATTAAAGGCTTTTCCTTGTAAAATCATTTTTATTAGTATGATTACTCCAATAATTTTATCAGGCCACTCTCATGTCATTAATTAAGTACTATATATCCAATTAGCTAACAAGCATTGTAATCCCTGGAGTGTTTCTAACAGGTTTTTATGTATTGATTAGGTTTATAGAGTGGGTTCAGAATGTGTTTGGCCCAGAAAGTATTGGCTCATAAATGAGCTATTCTAATGAGTTTTGATTAAAGCTTAATTTAAGACAAAAACGCCTCAAGTTTTTTGCCATAGACATAAACAAGAATAATGTTACATCAAGCCGGCAAATATTTGAAGACATCAAATATTTTCCTTTTAATAAATACAAAAACAATCTTTGTAATCTTCGTTATAATGTGATATATTATATTCTTGAACATCAACCAAAGGAAATTGCAGTTTATGTAATAACTTGGATGTAACAATGGCGTCCACAGTGCAGACAGTCACTAGCAATTTCAACATTAGTTTCTGTTCAAAAATGGCAGTTCGTATTTTGCAAAAAGAAATAGAGAAAGAATCAAATTTTGTGCTTTCTCCTTTGTCATTTCAATTGATTTTGAGTCTAATTGCTGTTGGCTCAAAAGGTTCCACTTTGGAGCAGCTGCTTTTCTTTCTAGGATCGAAGAGTATCAATGAGCTAAATGATTTGGCTTCCATTGTTAATTCTGTATTCCTTTCAGCAAATGAAAGCAAAGGCAAACGCAAACGCAAACTCTTGGAAACTTCAAGTCCTCCAGTGGTTTCATTTGTCACTGGTGCTTGGGTCGATAAAAAGTATGGTCTAAAGCCTTCTTTTGAGAAAGTGTTGAAGACTGTTTACCATGCCACAGCCAAAGAGGTTGATTTTGCAAATAAGGTAATCTTCAATTAATGCAAGATTTTGCTTCTAATTAATTATTTTCATAAACCACTTCTTCTTCTTCTTCTTCTTTTATTTTTTTTTTGGAAAGAAAACACCATTTTATATGTGCTTAATTTTCAATGAAGGCTGATCAAGTGACAGAGGAAGTTAATTTATGGGTAAAGAAAGCCTCCAAAGGACTCATCAAAAACCTTCTTCCAAAACAATGTCTAGACAGCAATACAGCTCTTATTCTTGCAAATGCACTCTACTTCAAAGGTTCATGGAATCGAAAATTTGACGTATCAAAAACTAAACACAGAGAATTCCATCTTCTCAACGGTCAAGTTACTGAAGCTCCTTTCATGACAAGCAAAGAACACGAAAAACATCTTTATGGATCCTTTGATGGGTATAAAGTTCTAAAACTACCCTATCAATATGGTCCAGAAACTAATCGATTTTCAATGTATTTCTTTCTTCCAAATGCAAAAAATGGTTTGCACAATTTAATCCAAGTTTTCAAATCAAATCCTGAATTTTATCAAAAAGAAATCGGATTACAGGAAGAAGAGCTACCTGAATTTTGGATTCCAAGATTTAAATTTTCATTCCAGATTGAAGCATCAGACGCCTTGAAAGAGTTAGGACTAGAATTACCATTTTTCCCTTTAGGCGAATTTACAGAAATGGTTGATTCTGCTTCTTCAGAATTACTTGCACTATCAAAAATATTCCATGAGTCTGCTATTGAAGTAAATGAACAAGGAACAGAAGCAGCAGCTACTACTGCTCCTGAATTCAGGTGGTTATGTGCTATTCGGAATCCGCCAAGCTTTGTAGCTGACCATCCTTTTTTGTTCATTATCAAAGAGGAAATCTCTGGATTAGTGCTCTTTATCGGAGCTGTACTTAACCCTCTCATGGTTTCTTGATATTTAGCAGCAAACCAATTAATGCTTAATAAAATTGAACGTGGAATTCAATCTTATAGTTTTTTCTGCATTTTCTTAATACATTTGTGTCTGTATAAAATCCATGATCTTAACAGTAAACTGCTGCTTCTTTCTTTCTTCCAATTGTTTGTAAGAATAATTTGACTCTTAAAGATTGATTTTCTTCTGGATAAGAAAATCTTTCCCTCAGTTTCCCTTTCATCTGCAAACTAGAAGCAAAGAAATACATAGATATACTGTACGATACTAAATATTCTTAACAGTTTTAGAGGAAGGTGACGTTTGTTTCCCGGGAAAGTGCATCTGAAAGGGAAAGTAAAAGGATTTGATAGGACAATGAACACTGTTAGGCGCTTAGCAGTAGGTAAGTTGTTTGTTTTGCTTTTTAAGAATAGTGTTGAATCCCACATCGAAAACATTTGCTGTTGGACATGTGGCTGAGCTCGTATAAGTAGAGGCTAAAATCCTCGGAAGAACATACTTACCTGGACGGGGTCAATGGGTGATCAAGAAGGCCCATGGCCTAGATTAGTGACCTCCATTGCACTTTGGAGGGGTGCTGGTCTAAGGTCTCCCCAAGAGGGAGAGCCTACGTCATAATTTGTGGCAGTGGGGGCCTGCGTTCGCGCGGCCCCTTCCCAAAGTTTAAGTTGAAGTACAATTTTATTTTTCAGGGGCTTGGTAGAAAAGGGAACACTTTGTTGATAAACTAACCTATAATTTAACACCTTGTTGATAAGCTAACCTAAGTAAAGATTATAACACTTTGTTGATAAACTAACCTATAATTTAACACCTTGTTGATAAGCTAACCTAAGTAAAGATTATAACACTTTGTTGATAAACTAACCTATAATTTAACACCTTGTTGATAAGCTAACCTAAGTAAAGATTATAACACTTTGTTGATAAACTAACCTATAATTTAACACCTTGTTGATAAGCTAACCTAAGTAAAGATTATAACACTTTGTTGATAAACTAACCTATAATTTAACACCTTGTTGATAAGCTAACCTGAGTAAAGATTATAGAAGTTTCAAATTAACATCCTTAAATTACATTTCTTTTTCTTTTATTATTAATTCGACCTTGACCTTAGAAAAAACAACTATACCATTAAGCTAAAATTAGCTCGTTGGTGGAGCAAGGGGTGTTTATTTCAACTTTAACAATTTATTAACCTCTAATTTATTCATTCAGATAATAAGAAATAAAATTGATTATCTACACTAAATTAATAAGTTAGTTCTCTGAATTTGCACTAGAACAAGTTGTACAACTAATTGGATGAAAAGATAAAATTGTATAATTATAAAAATAATATTATATACCATTTTTTAATTATCTAACAATTAATTTTTAATATTACTTCATAATCATTTAGCTTAATAAGATAATAGATCCATAATTAGTATTTAAAATTCAGCTCAAACAAATGACCCTTAAATGAATCACACAAGTAATTGTAAAATGAGGATGAAAAAATAATAATAAAACGATTGAAATTGATAAGTAGCAATAAAATTAGGTCGATAACGAAGGTTTGCATGTAGTTTTGTATTGCTCTGCAAATTATAAGCAAATTTATGTATTAGTCTTATAAAAAATAAAAATGAGACAAAGATAGAACATACTATTATCAAAACCATATTAACTTGTATATCTACACATACTTCACAAGATATTATTATTTTATTCAATTGACTTTTGAAATGAACTTCATTAGGGAAGTCAATTTTTTTCTTAAAAAAAAATTTTTTTTAGTAGAATTGGTGATGATGTTGGTTGGTAGCTATGCCAAAACAAGAGAATAACTAAAGTGATTGAAAAACATTTTTTTTTTTTGTTAAAAATAACAATCGAACCCATATCCTTTTGGATGGGTACTTAAAATGACAACTTAGACCAACTCGACCATCTTGACTTGATTGCTTAAAATTATGCATAGCTATTTAGAATGTGTAATGCAATCTACTCATGTTAAAAGAATATCTCAAAACAACATCACCCATGAAACCAAATAAAGCAAAATGAATAAAGAAGTAAAATGAGTAGTAGTCGAGGGGAAATGCTGAATTTGTATTGCTCAAAAAGCATTAACTCTCATTTTAAAACTATGACTAAAACCAACAAATACAATATAATCAAATTGTGATCCCAGTTAACTAAAAGACACAAGCCAGCTTTATTAACATAACACAAAACAGCATATATCAAAGGAAAAGACAGAACAATAGCCAGCAGAAATTAGGCAGTCTCCATTTTGCAACTATTCTAATGTAACATCAATTTACCAGTTGGCTAATCTTCACTTTCCTTCACAAAAGCTGACCTATTTTTCTGACAAGACAGAGTTGAAAGATAAGCAAGAAGTGGGAAGGCTGTGCTCTAACATGTTTAAGGACATGGGTTCAAATATTCTTCCAAGATTGAGGAATGGGTTCAACTGCAATTCTTCTTACATGACAGATTCATTTCATATTTGTAGAAAATGTATTTTTCATGTTTTGCAGAGATGACTGATAGGGACAGAACAGAATGATATAAAAATGTTTGTTTTTTTATTTTTAGGCCGAAATCATAAGTTACTGTTCCAAACACAGGAGAGGTCATTTTCATATTAATTTCCAAACAAAAAAAATTTGAAATTGGGTTTTGCTGTAATTTGGAATTCAATTTACAAGGCATTTAAGTTGATTAGGCTGTGGCAATTAATCTCCAAAGGGATCATGTCAAGATGCAAACCCTAATCTCTTTCTTCTTTAAAAATTTAGAACGCACCAGAAAGAAAATTAAACAAAAATTCAACCACTAAACAACAATTCCAACTGTGCCTCACATTTAGTTGAAGTCTTAAGGTCAATATTATAATACTTCAAGTTTGTTGACAAACAACCTTCTTTTTAATTATAGACCAAGATAAGAACCCTTTTTCTCTTTTAAGGTTCTTTCTATTTTATATTTCATCACACTTCTAATTAGTTATTATAAGCTGTACTATGCTTTGTTTAAGCAAATGTTGTATTAGCATCTATATAGGATGTATTAGATGTAAAAGATCATTCTAGCTCTCCTTACAGAGGCCATATGCAGTTCTCCAACTCTGAAAAATAAAATAAAAAGAAAAATTCTCCTTCCTCTTCTTGCATTATTTGCATTCTCTTCAGTCTTTCACACCATCAATAATGGATTCATCAAAACACCATTTAGGCACAGAAGGGTGTAGCAGCAGTGAATCTGGGTGGACAATGTACATTGCCTCTCCTATGGAAGAAGATGACAATGAGTGCAGTGACCATGTTGTTGATGATAATGACCACAATACCATTGCTATCGATGGAAATTTCAATGACGAAGGTGGTGATGAGCAAGACAGTGATGACTCGATGGCTTCAGATGCTTCTTCCGGCCCCAATCATCGGTATAAATATGAGAATGGTCAAACTAGTCGTGGAACAACAAGTGTTAAGCAAGATAAGGGCAACAATTTCAACCATTGTTCTCCTACAAAGCCAAACAAAAAGGAGAAGAGTTATGAAAACAGCACCGAAAAGAACAGAAGGTTTCCTGCTAACAGAAAATACAGCAAATAGTCTAGTTGAAAGGGTGCAAGGTTTGTAAAATTCACTGCACAAAAAAAAGAAACATGCTTTTTCTTTACTAGATAAATTTACTTCACGGGTTGAAACTAGAAACACATTCCATTCTCTTTTATGAAATTTTGTATGTTCCTAGAGTTTCAATGTGTTTGTTGGAATCAATTTAGAGTTATCTAAGTCAGAAAGAGAAAAATCTCCTATCAAATCATAATAAAGTCAATGGATTTATGGGCTGCCATTCTGTATTGCAACATATGATAGGCATTTGACTTAAATTTCTGCCAGTTTGTATCAATATGACAATACCAACTTCTTGACATTGCAGCTGGAGCCTGGAATCTGGCTAGTTAACCTTTATGTTATAAAATATCAAAAGCAGTTAGCTGGAAGGTCACATACCATACAGAACAATATAACTAATGCACAAACTCCTTAATGACGATACATTTTATTTGTTCATGTGACCATGTATAATGCATGTGAATCGAGCATTATGAAATAGCAGTATATGCTCTGCTGGAAAGAGCAAAGTTCCCCTCTTTGTTTACGGGGAGCAGGATAAAAAAATAGGAGATCAGTGTAGAAGGTGTGGGATATTGGGTTCCAAGGATATAATTATTTGAGATCAAGTTAAAAAAATTAGTAATACTTTTTTTTTTCCAGCAAAAGCATAATAATGCAATTGCATTGTGTTATGCCTTTGTGTCCTCGAGTGCGTGTGCAATGAAGCAACAGAGTCTTTCATGCTGGAAAGAAGATGGATCAACACAGAACGACAAATAAGCAACATAGATAGATATAACTCAGTTATGCAAACAAGGGTTGCAAGTGCAACAGCTAGGCAACTATAAAGTATGGGCTGTATATCAAAATAACTAAAAAACATATATAAATGACGCACACCACAGATGCAAGAATTGTTGATCAGATGATAGAAACACATGCTAGGAGACCTGTATTTCTTTCTCTAATGAAAACAAAAGGAAAACAATAAAATAATTGAGCATGCTTTATTAGAGACAGACAAGAACATGAAGAAAGACATCTTAAAAAAAGAGATTTACCACCTTCTTCAAAGGTAAACTGAGTTACATTCAAGTTTGCATCTCTTTGATGGCAGTAAGGCTAACATTAGACTGAAGTTTTAAGGATTTGTAAGTAATGAGCTCAGCCTTCTGCAGTAAAAAATGAAATCCAGACCAGAATTAATGTCACAGAGGATGAGGGCATTAGCTTCAGGATGGAGGGAATATAATATGTTTGTCTTTCCATCTTTCTATTCTGTGCGGTGTAGGATACCAGTTACCTCTTTTAGTATGAAAGAGAATGAATGGATTACATAATTTCTTTTCTACAAAAACAATTGACATGTGCAAAACAATTTTTGTTCTTTAAGAAGCAAACTACAAAAGCAAACTAAAAATGTTTGAACTGGTTGTTAGTTTATGCTTTATGATCCTGAACGAATGCGCTATCCCAATTCAGAATTAATTTTGGTTTGGAGCATATTCTGGTGCATTAACCTACACAATCCAACAAAAATACAATCTAGCACATTATATTAACACAAGGAAGAACGTGAGACAGCTAAAGGAATTTAGAGCATGTGATGCCAGTAGGAGTTTTACCAACCAACAAATACAGGATGTACCATGTTCCAGTTGGAACGGAAAAGAAAATAATAAAAAGCTGATACTCAAGTTTGGAGGAGAGACGGTAAGGAAGGAAAGGTTTTTAAATGTAAGGTATGGAAATAGAAAGGAAAGTAAAGCAAATGACTTATCATGTATTTATATTATCCCCGTATCAAGATCAAGAATTAAAATTGGATCTTTTGGATGTTTTGAAGGTTAGGAATCCCAAAAAGATGCCTCCAATTATCTTGACTCTCCTAAATAAAGATGCTTAAAAACCTTACTAAACTTTCTTTTAAGTCCCAAACGGAGTGTAAGAAAGGAGGAACAAAATGCCACCAAATGAGAATTTTCTTGCTCAAACATTTTCATGGTACTATGCTGCAAAGCAGCTACAAGTGCCTTCTTAAACTAGAAAAAGAGGTGACTAATTTCAATAGTACAAATCTAAACACAAAGTGAAAGCAATAGAGCTGCCGAAAAACAGCCACAACATACAAAAGTAGGACAAAAGTCTAAACACAAATTGGACTCAATGAACTTGATTGAGACATGTTGACCAAAATAGTATTGATGCAACTTCTACCCAGCATAGAGTCGAGAACAGAAATTATTATGCTTATTGAGATGTTACTAAGGTACCATGAGAGCACGTGTTAATTCTTTAACTGTCTTGCAATCTTGAACCACTCAGTGTGGAAAGATCCCTCAACATCAATCCTTTCATATGTATGAGCACCAAAATAATCTCTTTGAGCTTGGACCAAATTAGCTGGCAGCCTCTCCCTTCGGTAACTGTCAAAATAAGCAAGACTAGAAGACATCCCTGGAGTACTAATGCCAGAGTTGATAGCAAGACACACAACCCTCCGCCAGGCAGATTGACGATCAATTATTTCCTTTGCAAACTCTGGATCAACAAGAAGGTTGGCCAGATCAGCATTCCTATCATAGGCCTTCTTGATTCTGTCTAAAAACACAGCTCTGATAATGCAGCCTCCCTTCCAAATCCTAGCCAGTTCTCCCAGTTTCAAGTCCCATCCTTTCTCAATACTCTTGGCACGGATCAGATTCATCCCTTGTGCATAACTACAAATCTTGGATGCATAAAGAGCTTGTCTCACATCGTCAATCAACTTCTTCTTGTCAACCACTTGATCGGCCAAAACATCTCCAAAGCCACCTGCTTTGAAGACTTTAGCAGCTTCAACTCGTTCCTCCTTCAAACCACTAAGGAATCTTGCATCCAAAGAAGATGCAATTGTGGGAGCTGCAACTGAGAGATCAGCAGCTTGCTGTACAGTCCATTTACCTGTACCCTTCATTCCAGTTTTGTCCAAAACCTTGTCAACCAAATATCCTTCTCCCTTATCATCTTTAATTCCAAATATATCTGCAGTGATCTCAATCAAGAAGCTCAGAAGTTCACCCTTGTTCCATTCTGCGAAAACACTTTGGAGTTCCTCATTTGACAACTTTCCAACTGATTTTAGTACATCATAAGCCTCTGCAATCAACTGCATATCACCATATTCAATTCCATTATGAACCATCTTGACAAAGTTACCAGACCCACCTTTCCCAATATAAGTCACACAGGGGCCACTATCAGGAACTTGAGCTGCCACTTTAAGAAGAATATCTTCAATGTACTTGTATGCCTCAAAGGAACCTCCAGGCATCAAAGAGGGTCCATTCCGGGCACCCTCTTCACCACCTGAAACTCCCATTCCAAGATAGAGCAAACCCAACTCAGCCATGGCCTTTTCTCTCCTCTCAGTGTTCTCATACCACTCATTCCCACCATCAATGATACAGTCACCTTTCTCCATGTAGGCAGAGAGAGTCTTTATAGTTTGATCAACAGGTGCCCCAGCCTTAACAAGCATAATTATCACCCTAGGCTTTTGGATTGACTGAACAAAAGCTTCAGGATCATGGAAGCCATATAAGGGAAGATCTCCCTCCCTTTTAGCTCTTTCAACAGTCTCATCAACTTTGGAGGTAGTTCGATTATAAACAGAAATGGGAAAGCCTTTTTCTGCAATATTAAGTGCCAGATTCTGGCCCATGACAGCCAGACCTGCAAGGCCTATTCTTGTTGGTTGTGGAGGTGCAGCCATATTTTGCTCTGTCACATAAGATCTTTAATAAGAAAAACTTTAAAAAAGAAAAAAGAAAGCAACAAAAAAATCGCAATTTATACAATTATCTAAGAGGAAATTTTTTTTTGGAATCCTGAACTATAGCTGATAACTACGTCGATATCATGTTTTCCCATATAAAACAGTGTTAGAACAAAAGGATTTATAGAGGAAACTTTTACCAGATTCAGCCTTAGAACACATGACAGCAAAACAAACTTCAGAACAAAAATCAGAATTTTTTGTGTAGACAAACCAGCAATAAATGATTTTGCTGGCTACTAATTCTAGAGTTTTTAACTTCTTGTTATGTTGCTCAATCCCCATCCCCTCTTCTGCCCCATCAAGGAATGCACATGCCATCAAAGCTTTTCCATTTTATCAGTTTGTGAACCAATTTTTTAGTGGAAAACTTCAAGGCAAAATGTGCATGTTGATTTTACGATATCGTGGTTTTTCTCATAAAAAAGATGTGTTCATAGTGAATTATGTCTGATAAAGTTAGTAATGCTAGTCATATGACAAAGTCGGGATGGAAAAGAAAAAACAAAATGTCATGGAAAGGCTAAACAAGAAATCTTTAAAAGCTATACTCCTTAATGTACACATTTATATGACTAACTATAATCAGGTCCTTCAACCCCAAAAAAGGATTTTGGGATCACAACAGAGTTGAGGTGGAATCCATTTTCGTGAGAAAATTCCCATCTCCATGCCTAACACGACAAGCAAGCCTTAACTCTTATTCATAGGATGCTATTATAAGTTTGAGGGATTTTATAGATTTACTATGTTCAATTTAGATCGAATAGCAACCATGCAAGAGAGTGGAAAAGAAGCGAAAAGTTTATCATCTCAAAAACTACTTATTTAGCTCTTGGTAAAGAAATCCTATATTCATCAAAAAGAATAAATCAAACAGAACGAGAACACGATCTGAAGTGCCATGGTTAGCATTAAAAGCAATCAAATCACAGAAATGAAAAAGAAAGATACCCAATTAATTCAACAAGAATCTATGGATCAGAAGAATTAATCAAATCTATTTTTAACTTCTTATCTAACAGACTAGATTTACAAGCAAGATCATGCAGAGACATGCAAATCCAAAACATCAAAATATTCACAAAAGAGAAAAAAAAAAAAAAAAAAAAAAAAAAAAAAAAAAAAAAAGCAATCAAGTCACCAGAGAAAATGAAAAGAAAGATACCAATTAATTCAAACAAGCCCCAAATCTATGGATCAGAAGAATTAAATCAAATCTAATTTTTAACTTCTTATCTAAACAGACTAGATTTTAACAAGCAAGACTCATGCAGAGACATGCAAAAATCCAAAAACATCAAAAATATTCACAAAAGAGAAAAAAAAAAAAAAAAAGAAAAAAAAAAAAAAAAAAAAAAAAAAAAAAAAAAAAAAAAAAAAAAAACATGATCAGCAAATCCCACAAACATTTTATTCCACCTATTCCAAATTGAAAAGGATATTTAGATTAAGAACATGCCACAAAATTCAAGCAAAACCCATAAAAAAGCAAATGTACTGAATTGTATTAAAACAAAATACATACTTGGAAATTGGAATCAAGAGAAAAGAAAGACGATCCAGGAAAATCAAAGAGGTGGGTTTTGGAGAAAAGAATAAATAGTTGGTGGTTAGGCGAAAAGAAATGGAAATGTGGGAAATAAAATGGGAAGTTGGGAGATTTATTGGTGGAGATGGTGGAGTTGCTTACCGTGTACAAACAGTAACGACACGGGCGTTCGATTATAGAAATTATAGAATACAATCTCTGACTCGCAGCCTCTGTTAAGTTTTTGGGCACGTCTGACTTGACTCTTTTTTGGTTGGTGAGGTCTAAGGCTGATATGGCCGACTATAATAGGACATTTCACATTTGGTTTTGCCACCTCATCTTTGGTTCGGCTGATGTGGCAAAAGTTTTTGCTTTGTGGGTTTTGATTTCTTTTATATATATATATATATATATATCTTTATATATATATATATATAATATATATATATATATATATATACATTTAATTCTGATTAGGGTTACAACGGGTAATTTTATTTCTGTGATTATTTCTTTTCATTCATTTATGGAATAATGAAATCAGGTTTAATTTCTGCTAAACTTGAGAGCAACATAAATTTTATCAAAAAATTAATAATTTGTATAATTACTATTTCATTTTTTTACGAAATGATCAAAAAATCCTATTTTATGCAAAAAGAAAATAAAATAATAATTTTTAATATGTCTAATTAACACAAATTATTTAATTTTTGAAATATACTATTAAAAAAATATAAAAAATATTTAACATTTTATTAGTTAAAATATTAAAAATTATTGTTTTATTATAGTTTTTGTTCTAAATTGGGCTTTTGATAATTTGGTGAAGCGTTGGAATAGTAATTATACAAAAATTTGATTATTGACGAATTCTCCATTATTTTTAAATTCAGGAGAAAAATTAAGTATTATTCCTTTTATAATTTTAAACTAGTAAAACACTACTTTCAAAAAAAAAAAAAAAAACAACTATTAATTATGATGCTCAAAAAAAAAAAAAAACAACTATTAATATGATGCTCTTCTTTGTTTTTTTTTTCACCACATTAAACACCACTGAATTAAGCCTTTTTTTTTTATACATGTGTCTTACTGTCTCACTCTATACTTAGGCTCCGTTCATTTCCGTAAAATAATTTATAGAAAAATATTTTTCATAATTTTTCATTGTTTGGAGCGCTCAGAAAAATTAAGTCAACAAAAAATATTTTCCTGATCAAAAGAAAATTAAGTCATTTTTTAAGGAAAACAACTTTTCATTTTCAAGAGAGTAAAATATTTTTCAAATATTAGCGAACCTTCTAAATTCATATCTTTTTAATTTATTAATCATAATAGTCACTGCCACCAGTCACCATTTACCACTGACCACCACCACAAGCAACCAGCGGCCACCACCATTGTCACCTGCGGCTTTCATAATTTATAATTTTTTTCTAATTCTTTTCATATTTAACAATAAAATTTTTAAATTATAAAATTTCTATTATTATTAATATTTTTATGGTCACAAAGACTTTAATATTTTTAACTAATTTTTCAATATTACAATCAAACAATGGAAAATAAGTCATTTGAAAGAATTCTTTTTTAAGAAAAATATTTTTCATGAAAATATTTTTTAACAAGTTATTTTCCTGCAAGTTATTTTATAGAAATATACGGAACCTTAAAATAGGAATGATATTCAGTTTATATCTCTTAATAGTTTAAGTTTCGAAACTCGATTTTGTAGATAAAATTAACCCATACAATTCATTTTTATTGATCCAACCATATATTAGTTACTTGCTAATTAAGTTAATTAGCAAAATGCTATAAAATCAAATGATTCTTTATTGAATTGAATTTACAATTATTCAAAACTTTTATAATTAAATTCATTTAGTTAAATTGATATAATTTGCTCAGTTTATAATAGAAAAATTATGAAATGTAATTTTAAATTATAAACAAAATGCCAATAATAAAAATATAATAAATAAACAAAACTGTAATTTATATATATAATAAATAAAAATTTGGAAATTTTAATTAAACAATTCCCAAAAATAAAAATAAAAAATAATTATGAAATAAGCAGATTCTGTAAGCTTTTTTTATATATAATTGGTATGTCATTATGACATGCCAATGACAATGAGTCTTGATTAAATTGAAATTTTGGTTTCCATGAACCAACTTGTTCACAACAAACATATATGAAGTTGATCTTACCCAACCTTATCTTTAAGAAACTATTTATTTTACTTTCATTATTTTATTATTTATTCTAGAACTTGATACCATTAAAGCTTTAGATTTATGTTTGACCCTCACCTCATAAGTTTCCATGTGACCTTCACATGTGTGATGTATCCCATGCAAATTTTTTAAATTATTTTAATTTATTTGGAAGATTCAAGGCTTATAATTACAAGCAAAATGTTATATATTATATATTATATATAAATATATATATATATATATATATTATATATATATATATAGATAATATATATATATATATATAAAAGATTAGGAAATAAATACACAAGATATATTTATATTCAGTAGAGCAATTTGCGCGAGATCAATAATTAAACTGATTCGAGTTAATTCAAAAAATATATTTATGGAATTATAAACTCAAAACGAAATTATTCTCATATAAAAAATCTTTAAAAATAAATAAATAAAGCAAAAAATATATATAAAAGATTAGAAATAAATACACAAGATATATTTATATTCAGTAGACAATTTGCGCGAGATCAATAATTAATGATTCGATTAATCAAAAAATATATTTATGAATTATAAAACTCAAAACGAAATTATTCTCATATAAAAATCTTTTAAAAATAAATAAATAAGCAAACCATTTAAATTTTTTTTTTTCTCATAAGACTTTGTTTTTTGTCGGAAAACAGATGTGGTGACCTACCTTATAATGGGAAAGGCAATGGCATGTGCTCCATTTCTGTGATTTACTTTTCATATTGAAGATATTTGATTTTTTTTTTTTTTTTCAAGTCGTAACGCAAAGGGAGCAATATTCGAATCAATAGTCAATGGGATAGTTTGTTCATGAGAACTTTCCAAAGGTTGATAAGGAAAATTCTATTTGATTTCTAGATACAATGCAGGGAGAGGTTTATCGTTCAAACTAAGAAGAAAATTTTATTTATTTGTTTGTTTTTATTTAATTATAGATGTTCATATAAACATATCTAGAACTATCAAATTCGTAATCAACTATATTTTTTTTTAAAGGGCGTAGTCAACTATGTTAATATCTTAATAGTAAAACCTTCATATTACCATTTTTTAGATTGAAATTTAAGTAAGTTGCTTATTAAAAAATGAATAAGGTAACGATTTGAATCAAAAAAATCATAATCCACCATACTTATTAAACATACATCCACCGACTAAATAATGTGTAAAATTATATTTAATGGATGTATTTTTACAAGTTAAAATGTTCAGCAGTTGAATGATTTAATGAATTTACACTGGATTTTCCTTGTAAAGTTTTTACTGTCAGGTTTATATACTCAGCTAATTATTAAATGAATTTGACAGAAAAGCTCAATAATGTATTTTTTTCTTTTTTTAAAGAAGTGTCAGAGTCACCAAGCGACCGAGACAATCCATTGCAAGTCACTCTCCTCTTACACACTATGACACTAACATTAAATGATACCGAAACAGTGAACTCAAAGGAGCTACAGCATTCACACATTTTCCCAATGTAAAAATACGATTCTCTTTTCAAAAACCAAGTCAATAAATTTGATGTCGATGCAAAACAAAATGCTTCCCACCCAAACAAGCACCTGTCTCCTAACCTCACCTTTGCAAATTACAAATTGAATATTAACCAACGACATAAAAGTTAAAAACTTTGAGCTTTATAGATAATAATTAATTCCAGACATGACAGCGTTGGTGTTGAAACTGATTTTTCCAAAAGTATCTTTGGAAGTGAAATAGCAAAAGCAGAAAACCTAGAAGCACATGATGACACAAATTCAAGCAACTCATACTATGATAGATGAAGACCACCAATTGGGTAAAACCCGTTTGTTGTTGAGACTTCTAAGTCTGATATTTATAGTATTCTAGAGATTTACAATCAAGCCAAGCTCCAACACCATTTAGAAAGAGTTGATCAGAAATTAACAAGCAAAATCCAGAAAAGTAAGCTTTAAATGAGGTTATCTTTGAGACAGATCAATGCAGGTTGATACATTGATAATTAAGGATCATACAACTCGTTGTTCCAATGAACAATATTTTCAATCATAATTTTCAGATTTCATGATTTCAATTTTAAAGGACAAAACTTATATTCAAGCTCATAATCTTCGGGTGTAAAAGCAATGTGATAAAAAATACTGTATTATCACAAACCTCTCGTCATATAGAATGTTCACAACATATCTCTACAAAACTTTACAAGTTAAATAGCTTTCATATGAAAATGAAAAAAAAATTAAATGCACCAAACTATTATTTTAAACTTAGCCGTCATAATTTAGAGAAGGTAAAATCGTCATAGTTTAGAGAAGGTAAAATGAAATTTAAGTTCCAAATGTTATTAATTAACTCAGGAAAGGTGAAATAAAAGTTTTTTGATGAATCATACCATCAGAAATCGGAAGCATAAAACTAATTTATTGTATTTATAGTTCACGTATATTAACTGATCTTGACAACTAGTAATGCACTATAAGTTCATAACACCAACTAGAATTCATTTCGCTCAAGAGAACTTTGATAACTCTGTTTCAACAGACCACTAGCATATTAACTGTCTTTGCTGGAGAAACTGTCATCAAAACCATGTTGCGATGTGCATCTCATTGGATTAGTTCCTAAGACTACATTTTGAATCATATTTGAACAAAGAGCCTAAGATAAAAGCAGTTTCGGAGATAATAGTCAGGTCCTAAATTTGGTGATACTTTCATGACTAACAAAATTTGTGTCACTGCATTTGAGGATACAAAAAATTTCAATCAAAAGAATCATTTCTGCGTGTACATCACCATTTTGGTCGAATACAATTGCCTTTGAAAATTACAACTAATGATAAAATCCAAAAATGTTGTAAGAATATGAGTACCCCAGTATGAACACTTACAACTTGTAGTGTAGTTGTGCAACAAAGCAGGAAAGTGGTACGTGTCTATAGGCCAAAATTGCACATCTGAACAAACTCCATATCATTGTCGACATATTTAGTCCACAGATTCTTGTACTGATTCATGGCAATGTCCAGCCAAGGTTTCATGTTTCCATTATAATGAATTACTGCAGCATTGTTGATCTCATCCATGCTAATACTTGGATTATACCCAAGACCAAGCACGTGCCAAGATTTGTCCAATGACTTTGTTGTTGAGCAAAAGGTGATCAAGCCAGGTGGAAGAGTACCTAATTTCCATAGAGTACGATCCTCATTCTGGTCACCAAATATGGACAAAGTTAATTGATTATATCTTTCAATCTCAACATAACAATCAATTCATTACCATTTTCAGAAGAAACAATTTCTTGTATGGATTACTTTTATTTGGACATTAAAAGCAAGTAATTTGCAGAATGCTGCTAAATGCATAGCTATCTTAACATCAAAACACAGAGAAGTTCAAAAGGAAGCACAGATACTTACCAAGTTCTGCCAGTAATGATACTGCTCCGTGCACTTTTCACGCCTCCAAGAATCAAGATCAAATATATTCATTCCATAAGCCCAAGCACAGGACTTGGGATTAAATCTCTCCCTAATCAAAGGGTGTGAGAAGTTCAAATACTGTGCATAACGATGAAATGAACCAAAGCATGTCTCGACAGCACCATTCACCTTTCCATCCAAGTCAATCTTCCACAACCCTGTCAAGTCCTTTTGAACCACAACATCATCATCCAAAAACAAAATCTTATGCAACTTAGGGTACATCTCTGGCAGATAAAAACGAAGATGATTCAGCATAGACAAGTATTTGGGATTCCTGAACTTCATATTACTCACATCCTTGGTAGCATTCTCTGCCTGATTTTGAAAGTAAAACTTCTGCAGCTGAAGATTCTCTAATTGCCTCAAAACTGGCACATATGAAGAATTCAAAAAACTAAAATCCTCCACACCCTTAACCTCCACATGGGCACCTCCTTCTACAGGTCGCATCCTAAACCATACCTTCATGGCTGCCACATTCATTCTATCCGTAACCACATGAAAAACATGTTTCCAAGATTCCTCTGCATTCTTCACCGCAGACCTCACCACAACTGACACAGCAATTACGTTATCTGAAAATATAGCATAATGATACAAACTCGGATCCTCAAACTCTGGTTTAGGATCCTCTTCCCTATATTTCTCCGGATGTGAAATCCTCTCCTCCACAAGCCTCATTGCCAAACAATGCAAACTCTTAGGTATTGATTTCGCTGCAATCAAGCTAGCAAAAGCCCCATTCTTTTTTGCCTTAATTAACAACTCGTTAACAGCAAAGATAGTATCTTTAAGCTTCTGAATCTTGATCTGATTATCATAACTCTCCTTAGCCTCAGCTATCATCAACCTAGCAATTTTGACTCTTTCTTTCACTTCCTTCTCAAACTGCCTCAAAACATCCTCATCCACTGCACCCTCTGATTCAAACAATGATGATTTGTAATTGGGTTTTGCAGTAATGTCAGAGAAATTCTTAGCTAAGTCATCAAACATTCTCAATTGCCTAGAAATATCAAGCTTAAGTTTTCTAGCATAAGCAGCATAAGCATTCACTAAAGTCATATGGTCACTAGCTTGTTTATATATCAAATCCAATCTGGTTTTGAACGGATCCGAGTTTAATGCCAGGAAAGTCCTCTGTACATAAGCATTACCAGTACTGGGCAGCGACTGTAAAAAACCCAATGAAAAATTAAAAAGAAATCGAAAAAAAAAAAAAATACTGACGCTAAATTAAGTAGAATGCACTCACTGAGTCATGAGGAGAGGTAGGAGGATGGGTGGTGAGGAGGACGGAGAGAGTAGCGAGAAAGAGAAGAGTAAACATGGCGGAGACTAAGATCCGGTAAGAGAAGAAACTACGAAGGCCGGAGTTGAATCCAGCGGATCCTCCGCCACCTCGGCTGCCACGGACGGCGACCGCCATTGGAAATTGAGGGTCGGAATGTAGCGTTGCTGTTGTTCTTGTTCGTTTTAGATATGGAAATGGCTACAGCGAAAAAGAGAAGGCAAGTGGAGGATTGTACTTGCACAGATCTAAAATGGAAAATTTGCGCGTCTGTGAGATTATTTTATTTTTGTTAGAGAAATGGGATTTGGTCATAGGATGAGTGGAAGAGTATCTGAGATCACAAGTACATGTCTTTGCCTGTTTGTTTTGCAATATCAAATTCAGAGCTGACCCACGTAGAAAATTACTTGATAATTACTTTTTGAAAAATTATTATTTCATCCTGAAATTTAAATAAATTATTTAAATAGTCATAGCTGTTTAGTTAAATATGGAGACATCTCGCCGGACGATATATTTCTTCCGTCTATGTTTAGATGTTTATGCCGTTAAAACACAATAAAAAATAAAAGAAATATGAGAGAAATCTTTAAAAATACAAATCTACCCTTAATTTTAAAGTTTTCACTAACAATTGCTAAAATGATTTAAGAGCTAAGAAATTAAATTATTATTATTATTATATTAAATGCATTCGCTAAAGGAGATTAGGCAATAATTTTGGGTTAATTAAGCAATTCCATAGCCATTAGCTTTCGCATTTTTGTCTTTCTATTAATTCTTTTTTTAGTTTCAATCCCTCTGTGCATATTTATCCCCATATCCCCTGATTCGCATAGGAGAAATAAAGGAGAAGAAGAGAGGACGTAAAGATATTTTTGGTGTTCGGATACTAAGAAGTGTTAGAGGTATTTACGGAAATTTTAATCTTTTTCTGCAATTTAATGGTCAAAATCCTTCAAATTAGATGGAAGAACTATTTAAAATTAGTTAATCAAACTTAAAAAACGCGTTGGATATTCGATTATACAATAGGAATTATTTAAATAATTTAGTCTAACCTCGTGACAAAATAATAATTTTTATTTATTTTTTTTCTTTATTTTTGGTATTTTTTATTTTAATTACAATAATATAAATTGATTTATTATTTTTAAAAATTATAAATATATAGTAAAAGGAAATTACACCTCTTGAAAAATCATATAATTTGATTGGAGAATTAGTATTTGGTTCCAATAACTTGATGAAATCAACTACTGAAACATATATAAATGTATTCATTTAGTTTAAAATCGTATATTTAAATTTTACCTTTTACCATTAATTTTCAATAAAAATACTATAATACATTTTATTATGTGTTAATTGATAAAAATAATCCCATCATTTCAATAAATTGGTTAAATATGTAAATTCATCCATGAATTTTACAATTTTAATCTTGTGACACCCTAAATTTCACGAATGACCTATTAAGCACTTGAACTTGTAAAATTTTGATAATATCACACCATTTTTTATACTAATATCAATAATTTCTAGGGTTTTGGGCTTTTATATGTAAAATATCAACTTGATATGTAGTTAGCATGGCTTTTGCAATAGTAATTTTCATAAATTTAAACTTTTTAATGAGTATTTAACTGATATAAATTTAGCAAGTTGTAGTGTTCAATAGAATAATTTTAAAAATATAAGTGTTTAATGGATGTAATTTTATAAATTGAAGAGTTTAATGGGTCAAAATAAAAGTTGAAAGTGCCACAAAATTAAAGTTGCAAAGTTCATGGGTGAATTTATGTAGTCTAGCTAATAATTTCTATGCATTATCATTATCATCTTCATTACTATTATTATCATCATTATTAAAAATAATTTTTACTTTTAGCATAAAAGGTACGGAAAAAATAGGATAAACATTATTTTGGTATTTTTATTAAAAATTAATAAAATATATAATTTTTGAAAAAAATAATTTATTAATCAAATGGAATCAAATATAAAGGCGAATCAAACGAATGTTTAAAAGGCAATGACTAAATAATTAATTTTATATAAATAAAAAAAATTTGATTGTAACATCCTACTGAATCGAATCGTTGCATAGAGTCGAGTCGAGTTGAGCCGAACAAGAACCCGGTTCAAGCCATTTAAATCCAGAGTGGGGAATGTTTAAAAGCAATGACTAAATAATTAATTTTATAAATAAATAAAAATGTTGATTGTAACATCCTACTGAAATCGAAATCGGTGCATAGATCGAATCGTTGCATAGAGTCGAGTCGAGTTGGGCCGAACAAGAACCCGGTTCGAGCCATTTAAATCCAGAGTGGGGTAGAATGGGATGTAACGTAAATAAGTAAAAGAAGTGGACTTACTTGAATGAAACAAAAAGATCAAAGTATAAGTAGTAGGACTTACTTGCACTAAAATATAAAGTTTAGTTATTAAAATGTAATATATGGAAAATATAGGTACTATTTGGTAATTTTTAACACACAATCAAAGATAAATTTGGACTACACGAGACTTCTGTCGATCACTTGCTTCCTTCAGCCGTTTTCTGATGATTTCCACTTTCTCTTTTGTTTCTCTAACCAAATCTGGACCCAAAATCTTCTTCTCACTAAGTTCCTTCCTTTCTCCATCCCATTTCATGTGATTTAAAACACTACATTTCAACCTAGAACTCTATCCAAAGAACTCTATCCAAGTAAGTAGCCTTTCTTGAATTTCATACTTTTGTGATATTTTAGGTGATTTATAAGAGTTATTATGTATAGGAGAGAGGAGCTCAAAGTTGGAAGAAAAGGAAGCTAAGAAGAGGATTTAAAGCTCTTTTGGTTTAAGGTTTGATATCTCTTTTAGTTTAACATATTTTCTTGCATGAGAACTTGTGTAGTGTGATGATGGTGAGCAGATCTGTTGCTGAATGTTGAGTAAAAGGTCTGGAAATGGTGAGAAAGCATGCAATGAAATGAATAAATGAAGTAGATATTGATTTCATGCTGAACCAGGTTTATTAGACCACTGACTAGTAACTTCACCCTAATTTTACTCTATTTAACGATGGAATTAGGAAGTGGTATAGAAGAGTTATTTGTTCCTCTATGTTTTATTTGTCCATGAGTTTTTGAATCACCTAAATTGGACTTATAAATTGAGAGATATGACCAAACTAGTACAGACTGTGCAGGCTAAAAACCAACAGTCTGGGCGGACTGGAAGTTACAGTCTGGACGGACTGGAAGTTGCTCATTTTGGTAAATATTTGCCTACCTTACCAACGTAATTAAGAGATGTGGTAGAAGACAAATTTGTAGCCTAATGTGTTAGCTAACCATAGAAGGTAGAATCACCTAAATTGGAGTTATATATTGAGATCTGTGACCAAAATAGTATAACTTGTGCAGGCTGGAACCCAACAGCAGGGCAAACTGATAGTTGCTACTTGAGCTCAATGTTTGACTACCTTACCAACGTAATTAAGAGATGTGGTAGAAGACAAATTTGTAGCCTAATGTGTTAGCTAACTCATGTTTGACTACGTACCAAACGTAATTAAAAGAGATGTGGTAGAAGACAAATTTGTAGCCTAAATGTGTTTAGCTAACACATAGAATGTAGAATCACCTAAATGGAGTTATAAATTGAGAGATATGACCAAAATAGTATAAACTGGGCCAGGCTGGAACCAACAGCAGGGCAGACTGGCAGTTGCTACTTGAGCTTCAATATGGTGACTACCTTGCCCAACGTAAAATTAAGAGATGTGATAGGAAGACAAACTTTGTACTTAAGATGTTAGGCTAACATATGAATTTAGAATAGCTCTAAATTGAACCGTATACAGAAAGAGTTAAATGAATTAGGAAAATTTGTGAAGAACATGTAACAGGCTTGTCCCTGGCAAGATTTCAAGAATCACATTAGAAATAATGTTGGAAATGCATATGTAGATTTCATTCACTTGCCGAAATATAATTACTGCATTTTACCTCTAAAGTGAACTTATTCAAACTAAGAATTTTCCCTTAATCTGAATGGTAAAATTAGTTACATAAAATATTAAAGTAAGAATTTGCCCATACGCGGTGGGCAATAGCTAGAGTATTTCCCATGCAAAGTTACTTTAATACATTATCAATGGTATGCATTATTCCTCACATTAGAATATTTCTAAAATAATTCTTTTGTATTATTAACAATACACAGTAATATGCTCGCATTAAGGATTAGGCAGAAAACCACCGTAGATAAGACTAATGTCGCGAACATAGGAATAAGCAGATTACTGCGCCCCAATACAGTTTGGGTAACACTCCACAAGGCTACAGGCTGTTGAGTGGGATAATGATATATAGTCGGGCCATAACAGCCCAGCCATACGATCGTAATTCATGACCAGTTTTCATAGCAGTTCATACAGTTTTTCTATCACTTTGGGGTTTTTTCACTATAACCTTGATGGTATGCCATGGCAGTTATGTGATTAATTATTTAATAAAGTATACGATGGTTAAATAAAAGTTGCAAAAATTTAATACAACAATCATGAAACAGGCAGGTAAAATCAGTGAAAGTATAAATGATATGTGTGCTTAATATGTTTTTGTTTTTATTTTCTTATTAAAATTGAAGATAGATCTCACCTGAGCAGTTATTTGCTCCAGCGGAGTTATATTAATTTATACTCGTAGGTTTTCGAGACTGGACCAGTAGAGAATCCAGCTTACAACTGCTGCAGTTCATCTTGTGGAAGAACTCAGTCTTCCAGGGTAGCTACTCATGTTGATATTTTTGATTCCTGTCCTATCCTTATTATCATGGCAATGTACCAGGTCAATCGAGTACAGTTGGGCCGCCATTTCATTTTGAAAAATTAGTATCATGTCCTTTTGTAAAAAAATATTAAGTACATATCTATATTTTCCTCATGAAAAAGCTCACCACAGCTTTGACATCATAACAGCATAAACATGATATTAGAGCCTAAAAGGACATAGGTTCAACCAGACTTGTAGCGTCTCAGCTCGGTTCATTTTGAGTTAAAGTGGGTTGGAGACT